CCATCATCACCAGGGAGAGGATCCTTCCCGTTGTTGCTTGTAACACTTAACTAGGAAGCTTAGTAGCTTATTTTATAGCCCTAGATTAGAGCTTTACTTTTATTTAATACGGTAGTAGGCTAACTCGAATAGGAAAGACGTTATTTAAGATCAGAGTAAAATGTGGAGACCCGACTCTTGGCACGACGGGTTGCTCAATAACTTCTTACCTATTAGAGCTAGCCTATTACTCTATTAGGTAAAGATAAAGTTCTAATCTAGGGCTACAAAATGGGCGACTAAACTTCCTAATTGGGTAAGAACCGGTAGAGATAATTAGAAAAAACGATCCCGAGGTGGAGACCCGACTCGCCGCACTAGTCGCGGTGGTCTACTCTACTATACTAACAAGACAAGTACTATTACATAGTGCACTCTGCACTAAGTGACAGCCGCTTAATAGAGCTAGCATTTTTCAGGATGTTTTTTATTCGTCCCCTAGTCACGATAGGCTAACCTTAACTAACTATTTGATATGTTTCCACTTTATGTTTCCCGTAGCATATAAGATCTTTTAGTACCTTAGCTCTATTTCTTAGCTCTGTAGCCTTAGTGCTGCTCTTGTAAATCTACCTTCCCCCGGGTATTCGTAGTTGGCCAATATATTAATTTTCTAACAAGTATGTCATCTATGCGGACGTGGAGGACGGTTGAGGTGCACCAGTAAGCGGGTTCCCTGTGGGAGCAGTGCCATCCGGGGGTGAACCACCACCTCCAATGTTAGAATCCTCATTTTCAACACCACCTTCAGAGGTGTAGTAGACAGCCGGGCTGACATCGTACGAGGCTGCAGTATCCATCCCAAAAGCAATCCAGCCAAAGATACCGTCAGACACATCATCGCCAAGCAGGACGTATTCAACAAATGGATCAACATCGGCAGCTTCTCCAGCTAGAATGTTATCGTCGGCGTTGGTCGTAAGCTCCTGAGTGTTGCTGGCATATGGTTCTTGTGTCTCGACTAGCGAGATGAGATCCTGATCGAAGAACAACTGGCCAACATGGGTGATGTTACCACCGGCCAGGGTGTTGTTATCGTTCAAGCTAGCACTGACATGGCTAAGGACATGGATATGGGTCTAAGTCTATATAAGTGATTGATCAAGAAGAGGACATAGAATGGGCCTTACAGCACGACCAGTATAGTGTCCTGGGAAAACCGTCTTAAAGGTGACAACACCATCATCATCAGATAGATTGATACCGCGGCCAAAGGTGGCGTTAAGGTTAGACTCATCGGAGGAGTCACCATTACCGTTTGCAACGACACCAGAGTAAACGCCAGTAGAGTTACAATGCCATGCCTCAAGATAGACCTGAGGGACAGGCTCACAAGTGTTAACGTCGATAACTTGGATGTCAAGAGTGAGTGGTACTCCTGGCTCGCCATCGGTCATGTCTTGACGGATGAGCTCGCCAGAAACCCAGTAGGGGCCTTGGGTCGTCTCAGGCGAAAGAATGCAGCTGTTGTTGCCCGAGAAGAGAACTGACGGGTCCGTGTTAGGAGTAACACAAGTAAGATTCGACTTGTGGTTAGTGGCGAGGACGGTGTCAAGATCGCGGGCTTGGAGATAGGGCTTTACTATATTATGGATCAATATCACTGCCCGCTCTGAAAAGGTTATGCTAGAAACTTACCGGCGCTGATAAGATTTTTCTCACGCGCCTGCTCGGCTAAAGAACGACGACGATTCTGCATGGCAATATCATTGCCCCTCGCCTTTAGCTGATCAGCACAATGAGCCAGAGAGCGTTTGTGGTTGCTTAGATAGGCATTGCGTTCTGCTGCCTCCCGTTTCATCTCGGCCTTACTCTGGCCAGGATGAGCCACCGCAAGGACAGAAAGGCTGAGAAGCGTAGAAGCAACAGAGATCTTCATATTTTTATAGTGAAGAGTAGAATGTGTTCAGCGAAGAAGTCTAAAGGGAGAATGATAGAAGTCGTAGAAAGAGGGAACAAGTGGATGTACTAGGTGAGTAGTGATGCTTTTCTGATATGCTCTCAAGACTTATATAGAAAACGGCTGCAGCAAAAATCTAATGCACGTAGACAGTCTAACGGTAGCCAAGAACTAAAGTGGAGATGTACGTACGTACTCCATGTACCATTGCGCTTTACCGTTGTAGTCAATGTACACGCAACCAAGAGGCTAAGCCTTTCAAAGCAGTCTCTCAAATGACTTGGCAACCCTCTTAGTCGACTTGGCAATCGTATTACGTGGAAGTCTATTCCTGGTGAGGACCATTCCAGCCTGTGTGTCACACCTCAAAACAATCCCTATCTATTGTAGCGCTACAAGTCTTATCTGAGAGCTCTCGAATGATGTGAATATACTTCTCGAATGAAAATTGGAAACCTAAAGACTAAATAATCTTCTTGCCAGTTATTCCTATCTTAACATCGTTACAAGCATTCAGCTGAAACTGTAAATACCTACGTATCACAAACAACTAATTCAGTGGCACTCCCTAAGCAAATGACAGAAAATATTTCTCAGCGGCTCTCTGGGGTTTGCTATCGTGAACGCGCGTCTGGCGGGTCAAAGCACGAGCGTATTCTAGTGCTTCAAGGCTAAGTGATTTCTTAGCGCACCTGAGTACCCTATCAGGGCCCTGACATTACGCATGCATGATCTCAACAGTAGGGTTTCTGGGCGAACTGCCACAACGTCGGTCTGCTAGTTAACTATCAGCGCAATAAGATGCAAATTACAGAGGTGCCTTCGGAAAGTTCTTGCTAACGGAAGTCATCTGTATCACTACCGAAATACTACCGAAGCTTGATCGGATCTGTCAAGCCGCCCCTAGGGGCTTGATCTCGCTACACTTGGACCTTCCTCCTAATTGACCCATCTAGATATCTAACACGCAACGCGACGCGACGCGATAGAACATACCCGTACTAACGTGGTTTGTAATTGAGCGTCTTACCCAATCGAGCGGCTTAACTAAGCCAGCGCGTTAACGTCAAGGATCATTTAGTGTGTCACCCTAATATGCATCGGTATCCGAGCTCAGAGAAGTTGTACACAGTAGGCCGCTTGCCTAGGGCATGAGGTGTCGTGGTAAGATCTCCGATAATTTCAGCAAATCGGACGTGCTGGCCATCCATGAACAGGTCAATCTCTTCGCGCTTTAGTGACCTCCCTTGCCAACCAACGCAAGGTAAATAACTTCAGATTTTCATGTTGTGAGCGATAAAAGTTTTAGGATTTTCCTAATCGCTTGTTAATCTGTGCCTTTCGTTATCTAGCTTTGACTGAATAGAGAGAGAAACTACTGAGAAGACTCAGCTATTTGGCGTGCGCGACTGAACCTGAACTGAACGAACGACGACTTTTGAAACGTCGTTAGTACAGCGCAAGCGAGTTCTTAGAGCCGTAGCAATTCAGGTTGTCGCACTCCATCGCATAAAATGCTACCTTGAAAGGCTGAGATAGAACACTCTATCAGACACCAAGATCGCTCCATATATTCGTCATCAGCGAGAATAACAACTTTTATCTTGCGTAATAATGGATTGAGCGTTTCCAGATAGGCATCCGAGATACAATCCTCGGCCCGAGTACGAGGTTCTTAAGGTAGACTGCAATACTCGTAGAAAAGAAGAGCGTCTGAGTCAGCCGACTGCTTCCCCTCAGGGTCTAGGCGGTCCCTCGCAATCCAACAATAAGAAATAAAGTGAATGTGCTCTTCCAGGTCGCTAAAATTTCCGTTCTAGAGTTCGTACTCTTCTGGAAAGGGATCCTGGTAGCGTTTCCACGTTCTCCACATTCGAATAGAGCTGAGCCAGATAAACTTGTAGCTATTAGTGGGCCAGCCGTTGGTGGCGATTTCTTGACAAAGGCTAAGCAATGACTTAAAATCCCTAAATTACATGATAAGATTAATATTAGGAAGATTGGATGGTAAGAGAATTGAAGAAGTAAGCACGTATGATTAGAGCGACCAAGTAGGTGTTCGAAAGACAAGACGAGACCACTAGCTGGCGCGAGAGTTGTACGAGAGTTAGAGCAGGGCTGAGATCGAGGGGATTAGAAGGGCGAAATGAAGCGATAACGATGACCAAGTATTTTTAATTGATAGCCCAGAGTGCGTTCGCTTGTTGGACCCGGCAGCCGGTAATATTTGACGCTCCACAGGCAGATCCTCGTACCGTTATTGTCTTGAAAGACAGATCAGGTGCTAGCGATTGGCCCATTAGTAGTCAAAGAGCTTGGCTGAAGATAAGGAGAAAAAGAAGTATGGGTTTGTGGATATTGAAAGCGTCAATGCAGTACCATATGGAAGCTCTGCAAGGACTGTGTAGAACATGGGATGAGTCATGTGCTTGCTGATAGATAAATATCTACAATCTGCCATTTCGATACCCTTGAAGCTATATGCATCAACATGGTAATTTTGCTTATATCTGGGAGACCGTCGAGTTCAGGGCTCCAATAGGCTGGTAAGTGGGCTTCCTACCTTAAGCTGCGAGGAACTAGGATCAAGGAGCTCTTTGAAAAGCACAACATGGGGTGTAACAGAGGTGCATTCGAGGAAAAGGCAGCAACTGTTTACTGGAGTGCTGATATATACGTACGGGTCGTGAAAAGATGCTCTTCCACGATCGAGCATCGCGGTTCAGATGAGCCGAATTTGTGTGACCCGGGTTGCATCCGGATCCTGTGATCGCGTGCCAAGATCTCATCGAGGAGCGTTTCCAAACGGTGTTCAGCCCGTCACATTATTCATTCATAAACCAATCAAATGCTTGTTCAAACTAAGCCACTACTGACCCTTGTGCGACCAACTAGTTCAATTCGAGGAACCCTAATATACATGTTTTGAATAACTAAATAATCAATCACTACACGAAGTCCTGCTTCTCTACTAGACGAGAATACAGGCCCGGAGCTAATACCTAATATACATGGTTGATCATAACATGGTTACTATACATTCTCTAAATGTAGATACCCTCTATTCTACTACAATCTCAGCATCGTTCCCACGTCGTGTAAGCCTAGCCCGGACGTTTGTCTTCTCACTGTTGTGCACCTCATTCAACATCGTAGAGTCCTCTGTTAGGCTTGCCCTAGCGATATAATCCTTAACACCCTGCGATTCAGCAACCTGCGCAAATGCGAACCAGACATTTCCAACGATTGTCAACTTGGTTTTTGTAATAAACAAGACGACCAGCAATGCTAGAAGAGCAAAATGCGTAAAAAGGGTCCACATGATGATGGTGAGACCGACATGACTGCGCGGATATAGAACGTTTTCGAAGAAAGAAACATCGACAGTATCGACACGGTCAAATGCAGCCTGTTGACTGTAGTAGTTGGTCATGGAAAGGACAGTGATGAGAGAAGACAGCGCCCACTCGACTGAGAAGCCAGCTTCAATTGCGCCGGTAAAGATGGCAGCAAGAGCAGGATCTGCTGAAATGATTTGTGTGGGAAGCGACTCAAAGTTACGAAGGTGCGTTACTACAGGTCTACCCGTGAGAAAGACTGACCAGTTCCCCGGCAACGGTACATTCGTTCCCTTAACTGCTGCCGAGCTGCCGCCCATGTCGCTTTGTACGACCGGACGTCGATATGGAGGTGGTAAATCTCCTAAAAAGCTGTGAGGCTTTTCCAATTCCATGATTTGTCGCCTTGGATTTTTCGTCGCAGGTATCAAGTGGGCCAGCACCTCTGACGGCTTGAAGCCTTTCCAGTATCGGAGCATCGGTTCGGTCCTATTGACTTTACTGTGAATCTCAACATTAAGAATCGCAGCATCCCATGGTGCAAAACACAGCGTAAGGGAGATGAAAGGTTCTACAGTTTTGTTCGTCTTTGGAAAAGAAAAAGTCCGCCACATTTCTTCTTCGCCGTTACTCCTTGAGCCATTAATGACGAGAAATGTGGTTCCAAATGCGTTAGAGTTTTCAAATTGACTTTTGAAAGAGCCCATGAAAACATTGTCGGATAGACCTAGCTGGCATATCGTAGTTTCATCCTGCCCAGCTACTGTACAGTCGAAAGGCGTCGGTTGGATGGACTGCAATCCTGTTGCGTTTTTGGAAGGTGATACTACGCCTTTGATCTGTCCATTAAGTCCTTGACCGTCAAATTCTGTGATTAAGGGTGCTTGGCAAGTAACTCTGGCATCAATTGTCAACGCGTTTCCCGTGTACGTTGCTAAGGCCTGACGCAACTCGGTGGCTGCATATGGCAGAAAGGCCCGCAACAACATTCCGGTATCAACGACCCCATCTGTAGGCTCTTCAGGCAGCTCGTGATACTCGCCGAATGTTGCATAGTTGGGCGGATTCGTAGTCCATGCTGAGTCACGAGCTATCCTCTCTATACCTCTGACGGGATAAGATAAGCTAGGGAGTACCTCGGCAGGAGTGACAGCACCAATTAGCGGACCTTGCTTGAGATCTGACAGTAATAGAGTTGAAGAGAACTGAACAACAGTGGTCGTAATCAACAAACAAATTGCCATGGCATACACATGATAATTGTGTCGGGATTGTGTCGTTGATCTCCAGAACTCTTCCAATACGCAACGAATAAATGCCCAAGGGCTCGTACTACCAGTCCGCATGGCTGATATTCTGGCTGTGTGAAACACATGTATTCCAGATTTGGATTCCAACAGCAGGGAAGCAAGGATAGCGCAAGCGACGGTAGCCTGTATGTCCACAGACGTCCTTAGCACGAGGGCTGTCACGGCTACACATCGCGTAGCCCAACCTTGAACCATTATATGGGACCAAGTTTTGTTCCGGCTATCGCCAAACCATAAGAATAACAAGAAGGAGCACATGGCGAGCACAGCTAGGGAGCTTGTAAGAAGAGCAAGTAGAGACGCTGAGCTTAGTCGTTGAAGATCATCCTTCTCTGGAGCCACAGACGTGTTGATGGATGAAATACTAGTATCGGGTTGCACCGGATCTATAGCATCCATAGATAATTGTGTACTAACTTTGGGTCAGTAGTGAGGTACTAGATACTCTGCTTTACTTACGGCTCTACCGACGCATAGATGTGCCCATCACGAGAAGACAACTTTCTCCAACCAAGCCAAATGGCAATGAAAACACACAAGGACACCATAGCTGTTATGGAGACGCTAGGCGATATGATCCGTGTCGAAGTGCCGGATCCGAAACCGTCATATACCGGGATGGATGTCGTTGCGGGTTCGCGGGCGAGCGCTACCGACGAGGTGGTGATTGGCGCAACGCCTATGTTGTTAATTGCTGGATCTCCGAAGAGCTCAATTTGCTCCGGTCGTTCCATGAATGCAGGGGCCAAACCGCCATGAGGGCAATCGTCTGAAGCACAGGGGTTGCTTTTGCAGCACCCAAAGAAGGTTTTTTCACCGGAGCATGTATAGAAATTGGCACTCGATCCACAGGAGAGGTCTGGGAAAGTGCCAAAGATCGCTGCATCGAAATGGACAGGATAGAGATGTTGTTGCGGACATGTAACGCTACATGGATTGACTGCGCAGCAACCGGCGAAGAACGTCCCTGTTGAACAACCGTACCATTCTCCGCCTGACGGACACCAGATAGATTGGTTCCGGCTCATTATTTCAGTGACGTACTATGCGCTAGAAAAGAAGGCAGAGTGATAAATGGTGAAAGAGTAGTAGCGCGTAACCAAGACGCTTCACTAACGCTGAGGGTGAAGTCTTCGTTGATTTCTGCTGGCAACCCTCTCTTTCAGCCAAGAGTGGGGTAAGGAGTCCTCACTTCTGCTGCGAAGCGCTGTTTTAAGAATAGATTGTCCTGGCCTCTGCCCTTGTTTGGGGACCGAAAGCTGGCATCGAGGCTGCGGCTTGGAACACCACGCCCCAATTGGATGCTAAAATTAGACCATGTTGGCTGATTGGCCAAACAATAATGATTAGTATTTGCAGGTGTAACACATGAAGGGGCTGAGGGAGCTGAGGGAGCTGATGTAGCTCTCTCAGCTCAGCCGCCTTCGCTTCAACGTTATGGATCTTGCCATGGTCACTTGATGAATGCACTTTACATGCGAAAGCCAACCCTTTCTTTTGCTAATCCTACATTCCACTTAGTCTTGGAAAGGAAGACGAAAATCAACATTGCCGCACTGGGGTTTGGATGAGTGGATTAGGGGACTTCTGGAGACATGATTCCTGGCAGTTAGCGAACCGAATATTCAGCACGCAGTCTGAACTCAGCATGCTCGTCCTCCTATCATCATCAAGCTACATGCCAGCACCGGCCTTGTTGTCCTTGCCGTCGTCATTGTTGTTCCAATGACTGCCGCCGCTAGCGGACGTGAGCTCTGGTGTGTCTTAGTGGGCCGTCTTTATTGCGACGGTGAGGACGGTAGGCCACGAATGTGTGCAACTCAGTGATGCCCCAGCCAACTGCAGAGCGAACCATCTTGACACGCTCCTGTGCCTCAACGACGTGTTTCTCAGCTATCGTAGAATGTAGTTTCGCCCTCGGTGGCGTCGCGGTCGGTATTCTGCATGATATCGTCGCGTTCGGTGGTTACGGGTTTTGAGCAATGACGTCGGTTATTCAGCTCGGATGATGCATCGAGCGGGTGTTCCCACACGGGGATGCTTTTCTGCTTGAAGTATTGGACAGCTGTGTCGAATAAAGCGGTCGCCTAGTCGGAGAGTGCGGTTGCAGTAGGTTGCAGTTGCTGCATGATGTTCGCGTTGGGTTTGATGCCCCTCTCAAGACGCGTCTTTCGCGTTGTTGACTGTCGGAGCGGCTGGGGTCTGTGCGTACTAAGTAGTAAGTAGTAAGTCAGTGCTCACGGACTATAATTTTTCCGTGCCCTGCCTGGCCAAGTCTCGATACCAATATGTACATAGAGGGTGCATTGGGCGTTGAATTCAGCTGAAATGCCTTGTCCGGGCTGCCGTGTCTGTGTGCACAAGGAATACCGCGGTAAAAATTATCCCGAAATGCAGCAGAACGGCAAAACTATGTATGGTGCACTCGCCAGTCCATGTCACGGAAATATTCCAAGAAGCGGCCCAGAGGCGCAGAAGTCGTGCTGGCTAAATACCGTCTAAAGTGGGTGAAGTCCCCAAGATGCAACCCGCCGCACTAGTCCCGTCACAGGCAAGATGCTTCAAAGATATCCAGATTTCGGGTTAGCCCCAGGCGGGGTTGGACTAAATGTCGTGGGCCATGACGTTCCCTGGGGGTGAAGCAAGGGCATCGACGACGAGTGCCAACACCAAAACTCTCCCGGGTGGCGGGACGGCGGGAGGTAAGCCGAAGATATAGGTTAGGGTAGATTGGCGTCTGTATATAATTCATCCTGGGTACCTCTACCCAGGTCTTTGAGAGTGCCATTGGAACTCACCATGAGGTTTACCACTCTCATCCAATCGCTGCTCGCCTTGTCGGCGTCGACATGGGCAAAAAACTCAACCTACTACAACCCCGTTCTCCCTGGCTGGCACTCCGACCCATCATGTACCCCCGTCAATGGAACATTCTTCTGCGTAACATCAACATTCATCTCCTTTCCCGGTCTGCCCATCTACGCATCAAAAGACCTGGTCAACTATAAACTCATCAGCCATGTCTGGAACCGCGAGTCCCAGCTTCCGGGCTACAGCTATGCCACCGACTCCCAGCAGCAAGGCATGTATGCTGCTACTATCCGCCACCACCAGGGCACATTCTACGTCATCTGCGAGTACCTGGGCACAACCGGCAACCGTACCAATGGTGTCTTGTTCAAGACTACCGACCCATTCAATGAAGCTAGCTGGAGTAACCCCGTCCTCTTCCGCGCTCCAAAAATCGACCCTGATATCTTCTGGGACGACGACGGCAAGGTCTACGTAGCTACTCAAGAAATCCGCATCCAAGAGATCAACATCGACACCGGCGCCATGGGACCCGTCATCAACCTCTGGAACGGCACCGGCGGCGTTTGGCCCGAAGGCCCTCACATCTACAAGAAGGACGGATGGTACTACCTCCTCATCGCAGAGGGCGGCACAGCCGAGGACCACGCCGTTACCATGGCCCGCGCCAAGACCATCACTGGCCCCTACACCCCCAGCCCACACAACCCGCACCTCACCAACCGCGGCACTGATCAATATTTCCAAACCGTCGGTCACGCAGATCTCTTCCAAGATGGCAACGGGAACTGGTGGGGCACCGCCCTGGCCACGCGCTGGGGACCCCCCAACAGCTCCTACTTCCCAATGGGCCGAGAAACCGTCCTCTTTCCCGTGACATGGCCCACCGGCGAATGGCCCATCATGCAGCCCGTCCGCGGCATCATGTCCGGCTGGGAACTCCCCGCTCTGTCTCGCGACATCCCCGGTACCGGGCCGTTCAACGACGACCCAGACGTCTATGACTTTCCTGCTGGAAGCCAGATCCCGCGCAACTTGGTATACTGGCGGGTACCGCGACCAGGCATGATTAGCGTATCGGAGAACGGCTTGCAGGTCGTGCCGAGTAAGAACAACCTGGGAAACAAGTTTAACAATACCACACCGTCAAGCAAGGCCATTAGCTTTGTGGGACGCAGACAAACTGACAGCACGTTCAAATTTAGCGTGGATATGACCTTCAACCCGACTCAGGACGGCCAGGAAGCCGGCATCACCGCGTTCCTAACGCAATATGCTAATGTGCAGCTTGCTGTTACTCGCCTTAACGGCTCAACCGTGTTTCGCTTCAACTCGACCGAGTCCCGGAACAAGTACACGCCTCTTCCCGAGGCTTGGGAAGAAGAGCCCATCCGCCTCATGATTGACATGTGCACCCCAGACGAGTACTTGTTTTCCGCTACCTTGGCCGAGGGCGACTCGGAGACGCTCCAGTTGGGCAAGGCGGCGACAAGTCAGCTGAGCGGACGTACGGGCAGTTTTGTCGGTACGCTGATTGGGGTTTATGCAACGTGTAATGGGGCTGGCGACCATGTTTTGGATTGTCCGGAGAACACGCCCAAGGCCTGGTATAATAAATGGAGATACACCGGTCTGAAGCAGTGGGTCGACAAGGGCATAAGTGTGGCGAGTGAGGGGTTTAATCAGGGGATTTGATCGGGTGGAAATGAGTGCTGAGACATGGTGAACATTTACTACGGAGGTGCCTCTCAAAAGTATTGTCTAACGCTAATCTCGGCGCTTCGGTGTAACTCTTCTTAGCGCGACTCCCACCTTTAAGCTGAGGGGCTGTCTAATCAGTCTACCTATGTAAGGTGTTTCGCAGATAGACACAATACACATCAATGAGTAGATTGAGACGAATCCTTAGGGGGATACTCAAGGGTTCTGGCCGGGCTGCATACTCTATCTCTGTGGCTGTCGCTCCTCCGGCCGGAGTGGTATCCGTCGGGTCCCCGAGGGCTGGCCTCTACTGTCTAGAATATCGTGACAACCTATTACTACGTAGCTATCTTTTTACTAAAGCTCCTTATACTAGTATATATAACTATACCTTAGTAATTGTATTAAATTCACTAAACTCTCATATATATCTAAAAGATAATTAAGCTATAAGGTAGTAATAAGTACATAGAAGAGAGACAAGCCTTAGCTAAGGCAGCCGTACTTTGGCGAGATTATTCTTGGAAGACCATAATTTTGAAAGGCACCTCCGTAGTTTGTGTACTGCGGCCAAGGGCGTGTAGCTTAGTGGGTCTTCTTTCACTGCTCTATTATAACATTAGTTCGGTATTTCAGCGGAGATAAAAGCTGAGGTGAGATTTTAGACCAGACATGATCCACTTAGGTAAAGCATGAAGCAAAAGAGCGGTCAAGATATCTAGTGCATCATGACGTCTATAAATACATGCGGAAAACCCTCATAGGCTGCGAATGACCGAAAATAACCCACTAATTCGCAAGGGCTATACAGAGACCTTTGGCGTATAAAGCGCGATAGATAATTCCTCACTTCTAGTCCAGCACCTACTAATACTTATCCCTTACACGCAAAGTATGTATTCTACAATGTGACCTAGTACTTATTGGCATCTAACTAGCCTAGTAATCTAAACGTCTTTTTCCAAACATACTTGCAGAAACGATGGCAAATATCAAGGCATTTATTATTGTGGCTCTAGCTACTTTGTTCACCAAGAATGTAGCTGCTGATGGAAGATGTGGTAGCACTATAGTATGAATTCTGAGAAAAAAATACTCTGTCTCACTACTTACAGCTTCTGCAGTGTGTTGGGGGAACTAATTGCTGTACGGGATCGAACGGACAACAGTACTGTGCAGCACCCTTCTGCTAAAATATCACCGTTTCAACACCGCATGTCAACGTCTATTGTTTAGAGCCATTCTGAAGTTCTCACAAATTTAAGCGCTCCCGACATCGTATAAGACATACTGCGCGCGTACTAGCAGCACACATTGTTGGAGCCTATACAAGGCTACAGAAGCAATAACCTTAGCCAAGCTAAAGTAATAATATACTATCATAGCAATACAGATATGCTACTTACATGTAAACTACGGTTATCCAACTAATTGCCTCTCCCCTGCCCCTGCTATCTATGCCATTCTGATGTACCGCGGATTGTTAAGCAGCCATGGTTATGCCGAACACCATCTTACCGTGGTCTGCGCTTTCAATTTGTTTAATCGTCTCGTTATGCTTGTCGTTATCCACTATTGAATACACCAGCTTAAGCTAAGATGAACAGCTTACTATTCTAGCTACTAAATCAAAACAAATTTACATAGCTTGATTTGTAATGCGGCGGCCGAGGTAATATAAAAAACTGTCACCACATATCACTACCATGATAAATATTTAGAGCATGAATCCTCTCCATCGAGATGCGTCATTTTAAATGTTTCGTTATTTTTGTTTCCAGATGGGCCTCATTCTTGATGACTGCCCAAGCGTCAAGTGACAACCCTATGTGCAAATCTCGGCCTTACAAGATCAACATCGACCTCGCTTTTCTTGAGCAGACACGCTCCACGGTCACCAGCTTTCGTTCCACGGCTGATATCGCTGCGCCAGCCTGGTTTATCGGTCCACTCAGCTCCAACAGATCCTCCATCGCTGCCTACTAGTCTGAAGAATATGACTGGTTGACAGAGCAGAAAAGATTGAATGAAGAGTTTAACCATTACATAACCACGATACCACCGCCAGGTGAAGATTACACCGAATCTCTAGACATCCACTTCATTCACCAGAGGAGCGAAAAAGCAGATGCTATCCCTCTTCTGATGTCACACGGGTAGCCTTCTTCAAGCCTTGAGTGGGAGAAGGTCATTCCCGAGCTCACAAAACCATCAGTCAACAATGCTACTTCTTTCCATTTTGTTGCACCCGACATTCCGAGCTTTGGCTTCTCACCCGCTCCTCGAGCGCCTGGGCTAAACGCTACCTTGCACGGTGTGGTATTTACAAATCTTATGGAACAGTTGGGCTATGAGAAATTTGCACTCTACAGTAAACAGCCCCAAGCTATAGATGAAGCCGACTGTAGAACAATTGTGGCTCCATGCCTTCCGTATTTTCTAGTCATGCGTTGTTAACTCTGGGCAGGTACAGACCTTGGAATTTTCATTGGTCTCACCATGGTGAGCAAGTACGAAAACCGTATTACACACCACTTCTGCGATATGCTTTATGTGATCCCCAACGAGAACGACCTTGCGCGCTATATTATGAATCAGACTTTGAAGGAAGAGTCACAATATATCACATCCATACAGGCCTTTTTCAATCAACACTCAGCTTATTCAAGGATCCACTCAAGCTTCCCTCTTTCAATCGCGTACGCGCTCAACGACAGCCCCGTCGGCTTTCTAGCCTGGATGTACCAACCGCTCTACACTGTCAGTGATATCGCGTATACGAAGGAAGACATCATCAAACAAGCCTTCCTGCTCTACATTCCTGGTGTTTACGGCAATATAAGGGGTTACAAGGAGCTATTTGACACGTCCATACTTGCACCTGCGAAAACCTCATCGGTGCCGACCAGCGCACTGCAGTCCAAAATTCGGGACAATCCGATATTTGCCTACCCGGAGATAGCCTACTTCAATTTTGCAGCAAGTGGGGCTTTCACGAATGTTGATCCACCAAGATGCATCTTTGAATCTTGAATTTGAGAACGCTAACTTGTTTTTACAGCCCCTAACTTGGCTACAAAGATTCCACAATGTCACAAATCTAGCACATTACAACGAAGGAGGGCATTTCCCTGCGGAGAGCGTACCACATCTTGTGGTCAAGGAGATTAGGGCGGTATATGCCTCTTAGTCACGGACAGAATATTGCATTGAAAAGCTAAGCGAGCAATCAGTGCTGTCTAGCATGATGAATGAGAGCGAAACACGTTAGGATCTATATCAAATAACATCTTGAGTTTGGGCAAGGCGTGTATAATCTATCTATCCACGTTTGGCTTCTATGATGCACCCAAGCAAAGTATCTCTCAGACACCAGATTTGTATGTTACAGCCTATAGAAGATTCTCGTCTCCAATACGGCTTATGAATTACGGCAGTCTCAGGAACTACTTGGATACGATATCTATTATCATAGAATGGAAGAAATAGGCATGGTCTCTTCTATCCGACCTCACACAAGCAAAATCGTCGCACCTGTTCGCCACATCCGAAACACTTCTTGAAGGTATCGCACGAAATTGACAAACATCTCTTCACTACTCGACGAGACACGGCGCCACATCCGAAGGGAATAAACCCACGCTGATCTCTTCGTACATGGCCATAGCAACCAAAATAAAAATTGACTCATCCGAAGTGGTCTTGGACAGCATTATGGACTTTGAAAAATGCGTTGCAAGAGTGACAAAATGGGAATGGAAAGGTGCACGGACACGATGTTGACTGTGAGGTGTCCGCCCAGCAACCATCTTGTAACTTTTTAGAGCTACAGTCACCGTCAGGATCGACTACGCGTTGAGAACATGGTCGTCTCAATACCTGGATAGAAAAATTTACCGGCTTGGATGCGGCACTTCCTAAGGCCAATACAACGCCTAGGTGCGAAGCTAGTCACGGACCGTTTTCGCCCGGTTCCAGAGGAAGTGACCATGTGGGAAGGCGTACTTGCCATCCACTTCGTGCCGACTAGAGAGGAAACGTGCGAAATTTTGGATGGACGGCCAGTTGGGTTTCGGCTGATGAATCTGGTGAGCGACCCCGCTCCTTTTGCCGCCTTTTGGCTGCGCTAGCTGCGCATCTAACACTTACAGAATCGACAATCAGCCTCCCAAAGCCAGACACGCAAGCAGAATGCGCCACTCAGCCGCACCGTGGCGCTATATACTTATCCACTAGTGTAGCGTAGTCTGGCCGATAAGTATGCTGTGTCTTTGCGCCGCTGCTCGTCTTCTCTTTTTGTTCCATTTCCCCATTCACCTGACAATCCACCAAATCTAGCACTAGATACATATCTGTATGCTCCTTGCTGGTAAAACACTTCAATATTAAACATCCACCCAGTGTATTCTCAAAATGGCTGCTCAGCGAGAAGACTCCACCACCAAGCCACCCGTCTTCGCTGACACCTGGGAAGCAAAGGCGGCGAACAACGCAAGTGCCACCGAGGTTATGAAATCTTTCGAAGGATTTCTCTCCTTCGTTCTCAGCCTTTCCATCTTCGGTGCTTCGACTTTCGCCGTCGTCGTGTCGGAAATCGCGAACCCTAGCGAACTCGTAGCGAACCCACGCTTCACCCGTGAAACCGTTCGAACCCTGCTTGGCATCTCTTGGTTACTCTTTATCGTTGCGCTTTATATAGTGGCTGTTTCCATGAGCCTCCTAGCATTCCAGCGAGAGCATGCTAAGCCATCGTCCGATGGCATTGGTAAACATGGATGGGAGCGCCTAGGGCTCGTAGCTTCATCCTTCATTCAACTCCTGGTAATCGCGGCATTTCTATTCCTTTCACTTGTCCTTGTGGCATACACTCCAGCGGTTGGGTGGGTTGCAGTTGCATTCACTTCGATAGCGGCAGCCTTCGCCCTCCTGTCGCTCGTAATTCAATGGATGTAAGTGGGTCAGTTCCTTACACTTAGCTATACTAATATATGGATGTTAGCGAACTTTCTAGGCACAAACCCGGCACGTGTTTGTAGACGGATCTTGATACGGAAACCGATCAAATTACTCAGAAAGCTTTGATCGGGGAATTTAGATAAAAGAATGTAATCTCTCCATCTGCTACAGAAAGATATATCACAACGTTACGGGGCAAGAGCTTCCTATTACTCATATCTTCTTGCTCTGAAATATCTAGCACTTCAAAAAGGCGAAACTAGATGACTTTGATACTCATCACTAATATGAACAATATGTGTGCCCTTATTACCTGTAGTAAATTTCCCTCGCAGAGGCTCAAACTCAGGCAATCTCATGTCATGGCCACCGATACGGAGCATCAACTTCTCGCCGGCTTCGAACTGTAACTTTGCCGCCCAAATTCCAATCTCCAGCTTGACTAATCGTGCAGGCTGTATTTTCCCTTCGCTCGTATATTTGTGATGAGGGAAGTTATGCTTCGATATGCCGGCTTCAATCTGTCGATGGCTAGCACGCAAGATACCCGATGGTCCGACGTACTGCAGAGCATTTAGACGAGGAAGATCAATAGGGTCCTCGATACCATTGATACCATCGTCTCCTGTGGCTTTGAGCTCAGCAAATGGTATATTGATGTGGTGAAGGACGCGGCCATTCTTGTCGATTTTGCGAAGTATCACAAAAATGTCAAGATCATCATGATCTGGGCAGGACAAGAAAAGTACAGCGTTCGAACTTCCAATCAGCCCTGTTTGATTGGTGAAGGTGTGAGCGAAGCTTAATTCCTCTGGATCAGCATCATAGTTTTCTGCCTTAGCGTCTGATATATAGGAGCATTGACCATTTTCCACTAGGTTGGACGATGATTGGAGAGTGCCGTCCTTGGAAAGACGCAAAGTAATGTCGTTAACCTCAGGTATTGGCCACTCAGCGAAAGGCAGATTTTCAATAGTTTCCTGTACAATGTTAGAACGGCGTTCGATGCATGATTTCATTGATGTCGATTCCTGCTCATATTACAAGTTTGCTAATGCTCGGGAACCTTACGTTGCTATAGCTTATAATGGATATACGCGCCCGGGGAGTCAGCTGCCACTCATTGTCTTCCCATTTCAGATAGTGATCGAGAGACTTCTTAAAGTCCGCAACCGCATTTCTGATAAAGATCATGCCACCCCTGTGTAGGATGCAATCGTAACCTAGTGCTGGGTCAGCAGTCATAGCTGAATAGAAGCACTCGTAGTTACCTGTACATAACATTTCTTGTCGTGTTGGATGTCCTTAAACCTACGCAGAGAGCCAACAGTGTGTAGCCCAGTCGACATGCTAGCCAGAACATAAGCAGGACATTGGATTAAACTTATGTCGGCACGCTTGTCCAGCCAGTAATCATTCATGACGGGGTACTTCTGTAGCATAGCAATGTCGTCTTCAAGCTGCTCGTTTTCTAGTGTTCATTCAGCATAGATGCGGCTGGAATGTAAGGCTTGCGGATTGTATACCGTAAAGACGAGGAGTGAGAAAACCACAAAACGGATACGACGGAACACCACCTCGACACAGCATTTCGCGCTAGACATCGCTGCAACCTTCAAGGGGCATTGTACACGTAAGATGGGCCGGCCGTTCAGCTGCAATGAACCACTGCGTCATTGCAAGCCAAGAGTTACCAGCTAACGCGACCTTGCCTGTACACCAAGGGAGTTGGGCTATGTGCTCAATTGCTTCATGGCCATCCTGACCTTCAGCTGTCCCTAGGAGCCTAGATAATCAACGCAAGCTTGGAAACTAGAAATCCAACCCCTACCTCGAGTTCCCTTGGGACCCTATTGAATGATCAGCGCATGATTAACTTGCATGGATGCAACAGTATACGGACCACAAATGCCCCTTGCATCGACATTAACTACGGCGTAGCCATGCGTAACCCACTCGGCAGTACCGAAAGCTTAGAAGCTTTGGAAGCCGGACACTGCGCTACGGGGTATTCCAGGTCGACCTGGGATAAGATCCAGGTGAAAGAATCCCTTTCGTATGTAAGCTCAGGTTTGTAATACGGATGCGCCCAAAGGCTAGCGTATCGCAAAAATGAAGAGGTCATAGGTGCAAAAGTATTGAGGAGATGTACGCGCGAAGAAGAGCTATGGTCGACGAACCTGTGCCAGATTTCCCATAGTGCGAACAATGCACAACAGCGGGCACCATAGGCGTGTCGGCAGGACGGAAGATATCTGCACGTATGATGACCCCGTCGTCTAAGGGAATGGGAATTTCCTGTTCAAACACGGTTTCTACCTCCCAAGTCCTGCAGTCGGGCTCTTTTTTGTAGCCAACAGAAAGCAAAATGGTACGTGGATTGAGGCCCTTATATCGAGCTCCAGCATCACTTGGTGGTGTTGCATCAGTATATAGCACAGGAATGCTTCCGATCCGGTATTCGCTTTCGTTCATTGTAACAGTTCAAATCAGAAACAAGGTTCATCATGTATGATGGAGCGGTCGATGTAGATTAGGTTTTATGCCATTTTACTTCGCCGAATCTAACCCTACCTCGGTACCTCACGATATCTTGGGTTCGTCCGTGACATCGATGATGTGGAGACAGCGACACTAGATCAGCTCTCGATTTCTTCCGTTCGAAGTCAGGTTCGGCCATGACCCCACGACCATGTCACTGGCGCATCAGCCCGCAAACAATGATACACGAGGAGTATGTGGGGCCAACATGGAGCGATTGATGGTCCACCCTTCCTCCAAAGACTCTATTGACCGACAGAGGGATTGATGGAATGTCGTACTGTTGATGCGAGGAGTTGCCTGCTAGTTGCTTGCGGGGCAGCATGGTCGCTGTTGGCCAGAGAAGCGGATTGTGGGACAGTGTCAGCGATGTTGTTTACCGGAGAAGCGAATCGCGGGGCCCTTGTTGTGACCCACGCTCTTGCGTGCAATTGGTCTACAACTGGCATCGTGCAGTGCCACTTCTGTCAAAGGAAAATAAATATCTTTCTAACCAACTCACAACTAGCCATGAGTTATACCATTCCTCGATCTCTCATGCTCTTGTGTTTTCTCAGCTTCTGTGGCTGTCTGACGATCATACAGGGATTAAAATGACAAATCCCCAGCGGTACCCAGTCGCCATCATAGGCGGAGGCCCCGTGGTTCTTTCATCCTCCATCTTATTATCCCTTCGTAATATTCCCCACGTGCTGTTCGAGCGCCATCATGGCACTTCAATCCATCCAAAAGCATGCGGCCTAAACCAACGAACCGGTGAAATTTTCCGCCAGACGGGAGTGGAGCAAGCGATTATTACACAAGGGGCGCCTCCTGACACATGCTCCAAGACCGCATGGTTTACATCTCTTGGACCGACTGGCACCAAAATTGTCTCTCGCGACGCATGGGGTGGTGGGAAGTATGCCGACGAGTATATGGCAGCAAGTCCTAGTCGATATGTCATGTTGCCACAGATACGCCTCGAACCTATCCTTTCGCGAAGGGCCAAGCAGCTGAACCCAAGTGGTGTGCACTATGGCGCCGAAGTTACTGACATCGTCGAAAAAAAAGGACTACGTGGAGCTACAGATTGAATATAGGGGAAGTTCTAGACCGAGCGAGATCATACAGCCTTCCTATGTCATCGCAGCTGATGGCGGACGACTGGTAACAAACAAGCTTGGAATCGAATTGCATGAAGAGAAAGACATAGTCGATATGGTGACTGCACACATTCGAGCGCCGATAGCCTCTCAATACCCTGAACCAGAAGCCTTCATAACTTGGTTCATCAACCCAGATATGGGTGGAAGTATGTGGAACCGGGTATATGTATCACCTTGGCCCATACCCCAACAGACCAGAAACAGAAGAGTGGATGTTTGCCTGTATCATCCGCCCTGACGACCCACAGAAATTCGACAATAACACAATGGTCACACGAGTGAAGAAGAGCATCAACATCCCGGACTTGCCAGTGGAAGTCTTGAGTGTGAGCCATTGGTTCGTGAATGCGATTTCAGCTGAACGCCGCTATCGCAGCATAAATGGCCGCACTTTCCTTGTCGGTGATGCCGAGCACCGCATACCGCCCTGGAGTGCTCTTGGAGTCAACACCAGTATTCAAGATGCCAACAATATGGTTTGGAAGCTAGCTCTAGTGCTACAGAACAAACTTGGGAAAAGCGACCTTTTAGACACGTATGATGAAGAACGTCGCCCAGTTGGAGAAAGAGTAGCGCAGTCAAGCCTTGTGAATTTGCAGAGTCACAACCTGATTATTGATAAGGCGTTGCGCATCGGCAAAGATACTTCCGCCAAAGATAATCGGACGGCGATGCAAGCACTGTTTGACAAAAATCATGCTGGTCATGCTCAGATGTATGCGGGTGTGCAGCGTGCACAAACCATCCTCGATACCGAATTCAAGGCGCCTGGAGCAGAGATAGGATGGTTTTACCCGACTGCGGACATCAATAATGAGGGCCAGGATAACTACCACGATGGCCAGCTGAATGAAGATGGGAAGCTGAACACAGCCAAATACTTCCCTTCTACAATACCCGGGCACCACTTTCCCCACATGTGGTTGAGGAAAGCAGGTCACGTTGTGTCGTCCCGTGATCTTCTGTGTTTGGACAAGTTTGTGCTCTTTACGGCAGATCTTGCTTGTTGGAGCCGAGTTGAACATGAGCTAATTAAGGTAATCCCTATTGGTAGTAAGGACCTGGAAGACATTGATGGGAAATGGAGTCAATTTTCGGGGGTAGGTCGTAGTGGAGCGGTTTTAGTAAGGCAGGACGGTATTGTCGCCTGGAGAAGCAAATTAGCTGGAGAGGACAACGTAAATAAACTATATGCAGCTCTTACAAAGATACTGAGGATATAGCGTACGTAGTATATCATATGTTACTGGGATTTCTTGGCCCTCACTCCTTATATAGCTACCTGTTCATTGAATCTGGGATGCGTCGATGTAGTATCATTTGTAGATACTATGAATAGCGTAGAATTAGGTCATGATGTCGCTCAGAATGGAAGATGTAATTGTAATAGATTCGTTAACACGGCAAGGTATTCTACCGGACCTTACATCCCATCATTAATCATAGCCTGGACCATCCTGACATGTCTGTCTGCGTTCGTCTCGCTCCACTCGTTATCATAGTTCAGCCCATACGGCCAAAAATGACTACCGCCACAGCTGATCTTTGCGTTGGCCCCGTCAAAGCTCCGGAGCAATGGTAGTGCTGTTCTCCAATCTCCCGATGCACATTTGCTATTGAATGCTGCTGTTTGACCCACGCCCAATGTGTGTGAGATTTCATGCATGGCTGTGCGTTCTGTCATGTATGCACGGTTCGAGCCGAAGCGCAGATCGCCGTTGTAGTTTGCTTCGGCTGTTGGAACGCCTGGTGCGTAGGCGACGCGAATGGTTTTGTTGGCAGTTGCGAATTTGTGGTAGCGGGCAACGGCTTTGGTCATTGCCGCTTCGATTCTGGCGTAGGCGTCTGCTTGATCTGCGGTGGGGTTGGATACTTTTGCCAGCGACCAATTAAGGCGCGCAGAGGCGTTGCAGGCGTACGCTGCAACGAGGAGTAGAGACAACTTCATGATGTGGAGATGCGACTGATTGATCCCAGAGATACAGAAGGCTGAAGTAATGCGACATGGCATTGCTGTGGACTTGTCGCAAATATATGGTATACTTTGCCCATCATCCCCCTAGCCCCTAGCCACTCTGACCTGCATTGTCATTTCGACCTTCCTTATGCTCATGGGTGTGGCTAAAACGGCCGTGCAGCCTCATTAGGGAGGTGGGAGATAGGAGGTGGGTCTGTGATATCTTCCGATATGCTTGGCGAATGTTTTGTTTGTCTATCCACCTAACAGAGTCACGCATTGAGATATGCATATTGCTTTCCCATAGCGATTGGCATTGTTCAATCAATATTGGCTTGGTGTTGCGGTGTGCAGGGCCTGAAACGGTCAAGCGTCGGAGTATTGATTGCATTCAGGGATTCCCTCCCCGCTTTGAAGATTACTATCTTGGCATTTCTTTTACACCTTTGTGCTAAGTTTATGCTTCTGGAACATTTGTAAGCAGCGATAGTCATCGAGATGTTCTTAACATGTCTTTTCAACGTACTACTTTTGATGCGGCCCTCAGCCCCCCAACACTTCAGGAATGCATTCGCCTTTAATTTTGTTCTGGACGTGTACTACTAGTGCGCTCGGATATATACGTACTTGGCAAGATCCTGGTAGTGAGCTTTGTTGCCAGCCTTGAGGCGAGCCTGCTAAATGTCTTCAATGCAAAGTATACGTCCGAGCCGAGCTAACTAACTTAACTAGCATACATCAATCGTGCGTTTATCAAGCGCGACTCTTACATCATCCTTAATAGCCTTTCTGACCTCTTGTGGTCGTGGTCGATACTCGTATATACATTAAATACTGCTGAAATACGGCATAAGCTAAGCTGGTGTTTGGTAGAAAAGAAGGCGTGCTGTGAAGGCATGCCTCGTGTGTAGATCTAGGTACAGTACACAAATGCATGTAGCCAACATAGTGCCCCTGATTGGTTTGCTTATTCTACAAATTTGAGATGCGAAGGATAGGGTCCAAAAACTAAGTTCTGCGCTACAGCCAACTCCACATGCAGATTTCCAGGCAGAGAATCGGCAAAGTAAATACGAAATGTTGTAGGGGTCACGACTTGATGCAAGTAACGTCCTGAAATTGATTTCCACTAACCCAAATGGAAGCAGACTAAATCTCGGGTCCTTGCAGATCATGAAGACCATCGAAGCCCAAGAAAGCAGTATTCTCTAACATCTCCGACCTCCCGCATGCACATGGCAAACTCTAAGACCTTGTCTTTTTGCTGTGGAAAGCCTTGTATTCACATTTGTGCAATTGGCTGTGCTGGATTTGAAGACTAATGGATGCAAAGCGTTCACGCGGAAATTATTCGACACCTTCGTTCATTGATGTATAGCTCACAACTCTATTTGCAATTCTCATCACCTGTCTAGGCAAAACGATCTCACAAATATCAGTGTTCCGTTATTTAACAGTGCGGATCTAAGTATTAACTCCAGTAGTATTCGAGCATTGACTTTGTTTGATATGACTCAGGGTGAAGTCGATTGCATCATCCGCGATAATGGCAACTGTAACAGAGGTTGCCAATTCAGCATCTGAAGATACAGTCCCGTATTCCGAGATTGCGATACTCCCTCCTACCTCAGACATACTCCAAAATACGAGACTAACGTGTATAGTTTTCAAAACATAATATTCGCTTCAGCATAGATCTCGTATTAGAATGTTGGCTGCTGAACCCGAAGATCACAAAATCACCAAGGCCAGAATTGTTGCTACAGCAAAGGAGAATATCGTTAGGTAATCACCGTTAATAGAGGATATTTAAAGACAGTAGCTCTATATCATGGTGATTCTACCAAAACTTCGACGCAGTTGCAACCTCAACCTGTTCAGTCTTTCATGTCGGCTTGAGCTCAAGTTATATCAGAGAGCTCTCGAGGGTCTGGAGTGTCTTTGATCTAAATATGGATAAGAACGGGCTCTAAGTCGATGTGGCGATACACTTACGAGGGTTAAGTCTTATCCAGATCGAGATCCGAATGCCCTGGCGCTGTAGCCCAAAGTGATGCACTTGCCCACTTGGAAGGCGTTTTCACGTCCATCTGCCCACCAGATCTTGCGAGCAGAGCCGACACAGTTTCCGACGTCGTAGAAGTCTGCCTTCTGGAGGTTGCCGCCAAGGTTCAGAATACGGAAGGATTGAGTGGCGGGAATGTTTTGGTCGCGGCAGGTGTTGTCCCACACATTGACGTCCTTCGCATCGCCTGTGCAGTCCCTGCCAGAGAAGGCAGTGAACTTGTAACCAAGAGCTCCGGAAGAGAGACCAAGGAAAGCGACTAGGGTAGAGGTGAAGTACATGATTGCTGTTGGTGTTTCAAAGATAGCTTGATGCTAGGAATGGGATTTTAAGGATTTGAAGTGAGATGTAGTGATGATGAGGTGAGTATAAGTTGGGTGCTGTCTTTCAGGAGGAGACGTAGCTGATATATATACTTAAGGATGTAAAAGCAACAGAGGACCCTATTTACAGAGTTACGTAACTCCGTATGGCACTCCCGATGCCTCATTGACCATTTGGCCATATGAATGCCATCTTCCGAACTCGGGTTTTCTGAGCAAACATGAATCTGTTGATTTTTAACCCAAAAGGTATGAATATGTTGATTGTTATCCTAAAAGGGTGTACACACAAACTCGACTAGGCTCTAGTGGCGACTAGTGATGACTGTGTAGAAGAGACCACCTGAGTCATATGTCAAGATATGCTAAATACGCGAGCTGACTTAGTCCGCCTCTAGACTGTTAGTTTGATGTGAGTCGAGTCCACCCGTTGGTGATTAATGCGTACTTACTTATTCTGGCCAATCCTACCATTGAATGAATGGCTCGAAAGGACAGATTAGGTGGCTGCTAATATGTCTCTGGTCATTAGGCGAAAATGAGAGTTCATGTGCAAACGTAGTATTTACTTTCGTGTTTCCCATATCTCTCTGATTGAGAAATGCCTTTGTTTACGATGTATGTTATCTTCTAGTTAATTGACTGATAAGGTTATTCAGTCAAACATGACAAGTCGGCCTGTAAGCCACCTGCTCTGTTGTACCTTATTCGGTGCTACGGCTATAATGTCGTTTCAGAATCGATGGATGCAGCCATAGACTGGGTGCGCAAAGCCTCATGTTGGTGTAGGCCACTTGTTGGTTGGGGGGACATCATCAATCCTTTCGCTTAGCTCGAAATCCTTGGGTGCATGTATGCGCCAATTAGCATACAGATCTGGGGAAAGATCTAGCCTGGTTACCAGCTGTTCCACAATGAATGAGGCCGAATCAGCGCTATCTAGAAGTCGATGCGGCTTAGATCTTGAGGCTGCAGTTAGATGTGGAGCAACCTTGACTATGATCGGGTAAGAGCGCCGAGCTTGCTGGGCAGATTCTCGCCTAGCGGGTGCGTGCATCACCACGGGCATGGCTTTACGGCGCCTATTGGTTGCTCCCGTAGGAATACTCCAGGTACCTCTCACGTCCACATCCGGCAATTTAAGGCAACCCGCAATGGGCGTATGGCACAGCAAGCCTTGGCTGAAGGCCTGACCAGTATGAGGCGTGAATCGAACTCCGATTTGTGTCGTAATAAGATTAGTGTTATAAATGAGGTTTTATGGGTCTGCCAAGGCAGAAATGATTATACAGCCTTGAAAGATGATATGGGGCAGTGCGATCTCATTCACCCATAGAGAGACTCAGGCCTCGTCCACAACCTCAACCAAGTGGCTTTGAACCTTTACAAGCAACACAAAAACAAGTTGTTCGCGCGCAAGCGGGAGATGAGGCACCTTGCCAATGTTGATGCTAATACATCGACCATTGTGGCCAATTTTCTCCACCTCTTGAATCCACGCTGCTGTTACCATAGCGAAAGCGCTGAAGACGCGACTCTTTACGACAGCACGATAAGAGTCGGAAATTATGATTAAACGGTGCGAAATGGGTGTTCAGAATAAGTCAACCAGTCTTTTGGGCTGCGAAACTGTTACGCTTAAAAGCCTCCGAGTTGGCTTTGTCAAATGCTAGCCTCTGAAATCACTGAACAGAGACTGCTGCGAGTGATATGAAGTATATAAGGATTTCACTTTTGTCCTATGACCCAGGACTGGCACGTGTTTCTCACCCCTTGTGACATGTAGTACGGTTCGCATCATAGCATCGGCTACTATCACCTTCGCGGAATAACTCTTCAAGCACTTGAGCCAGTTGGGAGCGAACTCAATCCAAGACGTCTCTGGTGACTATAAACTCCGGTGCTTGGACTCTGTGAAGCCTGGAGGACTTCGTTGCATTAAAAACACCAATGAGATCAACCGTGGATATGTTATTGATGGCTATGTGCATGCTAAAGGAATGGGGGTACTTATTATGATATTTAAAATGAGGCGAGCTGTCAGCTATAAGGTACGAAGTGATTAACCAACAGGAATCGAGGCGAAAGTTAAGAACATCTCAATTCTATTTTTTACTTTGGCCAACCTTGGCCGCATACTCCAGACCTTCAACGACCTCCTGGGGCTGGCTTAGAAAAGGCGAATGCGCCCCAACTGATTTGAAAGTCGGCGCATCTTTACCTAGCATCTGTGCCATCTGCTGTTGTATAGGTAGCAGAAGCGCTTTGTCGGCCTCACAGAAGAAGTACATCGAAAGGATCTCGTGCCACGGCTCATAAGTGACCTCGTCAGTGAAAATGCGTGCTGATTGGTGCTTGAGCTTTGCAACGGCAGCCTTCTGTGCTTCATCATCTAGATCGTGATAGCAGATTACTTCTGCCCCAGTGGCGTAACAGTAGTCACCCTAAACCTGCTTTTTAGCTCTGCTTTTCTGGAGATAAGGAGCCTGATCTGGCGTATGTACGAACATCAAATTTCATCCAGGGTAAGAATTGGCCACCAAGCATGGCTTTGATCGTGGCTCCCTTTGGGGCAACGAAAGCAGCAAGGTAAACCAATATAATGACACCGCCTTTTTTACCCATTGCCTGCCGCTGCTTGTAGCCCAAACCCTCGACGGCGTTTTGTCCGACCAAACCCCCATATGAGTGCACGAGCAGGACAATATCTTTGCCATCATCAGCAAGCCTTTGCAAGGTGGAGCGCAGCGCCGCGGCATCGTCTGCAAGGCCTTTGTTGGGAGGCTCCGCTCCTACGGATGGGTGCGCCACAGCCTCAGTTTCCCATCCGCGCTGGTGCAGTTTCTCGCGGGTGATGTCGAAACAGTCTGGTGTGGACCAAGCGCCTGGAACGAACACGATAGTAGGCTTGGACATGCTGATGATGATGTTAGTTGGAACTGAGGGACCACACGACGAAAGATGGCAGGAAGTAGTGAGACTGAAGTCGCACACAGATCAGAGTACAGTAGTTTATTAAATTCTGCGGGATACCCACTCACCCTCGGTTGTTGGACTCAATGTGGAGGACTCAAAGTGGAGTCCTCGATAACGTTTCCGAAGGCGGTATTTTCAAAGTGGAGAACTGACTATAAATGCATGATGTCTATGGATTTATTGTACGCCAAAAATGATCATGGAGTAGCAGAAGTGTTATGTTAAAATCAAAAAGCGTCCCTAGCATTCGCGATGTTGTTCGTTAGATGTATGATCAAAGGAGCAATATTTCGGTAGATGGCGGGGTACAGTCAGCTTAATCTTCCTGACTCTGATGTGTTATAAGTCTAGGAATCACTAATGAGCTAGGCAACATAAGCTTAGTAGCATGGTGTAGAAGGGTTGGAAAGAGACTACCACAGAGATACCCTGAGATCGCATTTCGAATTTTGAATTAAACATCAAGGGACTTCTCCAGGCATGCTCATCAAAGTCGCTCTCCTCTGTCAAATCGAATTTAGTGGTTTTGAATATTTCTACGCAAAAGAAAATCATTCGATACCTAGAAACACAGCACGGGAAATCGCGAGATTATCATTGTAGGATGCAAATGCCTGTGGTAGGAGCGACATTTAGCCAGAACTGTTCCACTAACAGCAACGATTGCCGAGAGGCTCGCCTGACATCTGATGGCAGAAAAGTCTTCCTTGCAAAATGCCCCACTATGATCCAACACCCCTCACGGTAGCATGCCTTACTGTACGACAAAAAACGCAGCGCCCAAAATCACCAATGAGAGCGCAAAAACAATCGATTCCCCAGCGCAGCGCTGTGCCTCGATGTATCCACACTGTAAGGGGGTTAGGCTCTTTTTTCTATATACAAGTAGTCCCCTTTAGCAGGCAAAATTGTTTGGTGCCCAACTTGTTGTTCATCAGTCTCACCTTCCAATATGTAATGAAGCCAATCAACGCGTTTTCTACTTACGATACACCATGCTGTAGTGTTTGAAGACATAGGGTAGGTAAACCTCTTACTACTGCTGATGTACATGCGCATCTTCCCGAGGAAGCGCTTTTGAATCGGCGCATACATCTTAGTATTCGTGATGATTAGCTGGGCTTCGCAATCAATAGTACTTGCAACAACCTCACGGCCTCGGCTATCAGCAATGCCGTACTCAACATCTAAACAAACATCGCTATTCTGTGTATGCCTGTTGGTCAGGTATCGGATGCTCAACGCGCGTCTCACACCTTTGTGTTTCTGCTTGAAGTATTGTCAGTGCCCCTCCGCCTTCAACGTGACTGTTGTCGTTGCTGACTACAATTCGCAGTGTACTTTTCGCCATCACCTACCGCTTTGCAACAATCATGCAACTCGACATAGCTGACATAACAGGAACACTGGCGACGGCGTGCACCTGGTGCGTTGTAGAGGTCGCATCTGGCATTATAAGTGCATATCTGCCCACGCTGCCCCCGCTTATGCTCATCGTCTTGTCCTAATTCAGTAACATTTGAAATCGGTCCAACGAGGGATTGGCCACGGAAAGACAGTCGAACAAGACGGAGCTCGTGACTATTGGTGGCACAGGGAGCAAACGCAACCAGAACTTTCAGCGTCTCAAAGATGATTACGAGTTTTACTGCGATTTTTTTTTTTACAATATATACGCAGAAAAGTGGCTATGACGCGGTGTTAAGTAGTGATGAGAGACCTCTAGCTGGTGCGATATATTCACAGGAACCGAAGTCTTTCTAAAGCAACTACTCTTTCGTTCGATACCACGCCTTCGGGTTGATGTGTATAAGATCAGATGCTACAATATGATGCTATTGGATGTAGAATATGTGTAAGTCGCAATGTAGTGATATGAAGCATTGGGTCTTGCGTTGTTGTTGAGCTCGCCAAAGTGCTTGGTAATTCGCATGGCAAAACGCTGGCCAGCATGCGGGATGCTACTTTTATGCTGTGGTTATATCCTTCTTCCCAGGCGGTTATTATTGCAGTTTTCGCTGCATATTACAATCGGTCCTGGAAGGGTTTGCGTTCACGAAGAGATGCAATCTGATTGGCTCTCAGAAGCTCTGCGCTGATTGGCCGTACCAAGATGTTAGAAATCTCCGTATTCGGGCAGCGTCTGGTCACGCCAAAGTTTCCGCCAGCCCAGCCAGTGAGAAAGCCAGCCCAACAATGAGCTCAAAACGTGCTCAAAAAGCCAGACAAAAGGGAGCCACACGATGAGATAAAATATCAGCCAAGAACCGAGCGAAAGAATTACCTCTTGACAGGAGCAATGGGGGCAATGAGCGCGCACCGCAGGCGCACCTTACATAATATATACAATGGATAACTCTGACGGCCCGGCTAGGGGTGCTGAAGTAGGGATGCAGCTTGAGTAATGTATAGATAGAGCAAATGGAGCTCAAGCCGCACCTTCCTTTAGTACCGCCAACCAAGCTGTCAGAATTGAATATTTTGAATATATGTCGTTATTTGACGAAAAAATCCTTTTAATTGCGTCATTATATTCTTAACAGATACCATCCTTGTATATAGTTGTCAATGTCGATCGTGAATTCGAGAGACATACCTCGTCACGAGGCGGGTTCGTGAAATTGGCTTCTTGCTTGTGGGTCTTTTAAGAATTAGTTCACACATTCCTGTTCTTTATCCTTTTATCCTTCTGGGACAGAGTTTTCGATTGATATGATATGCGTAAGAACATGGCTGGAGTTTGCGATGGCGCACGCGGAGAGTTATATCAGAGTTTTTCTTGGTATCTGCGGGCATCAGATCAATAACAGATCTTCTTTGGATTGCCATCCTCGAAAGGCGTCTTAGTGCATGCGTTGAAGAGATATGACATGGAGTGTGGTTATACAACATATTGGGTCTATGTATAGTCATCATGTTGTGACAAGCTACTGTCAGTATACCCAAGCCGTGCAGTAGAAGCTTCTGCTATGAAAAAATCAACGGGTGCAGCATTCCGTCACGTGTATAAAAAGTCGGCGTGTCAATTCCCGATTAATAGAGCCGGTGTTTTGAAATCAAGAATGCACTAGGCTGGTATACATCCGATTGACCCGACGAGGCTTTTTAAGGTTTGGGAATGGGCCCAGGGGCGTGTGTCATGTTGATCACGGTACTAGTGGCGCAATGGGCGGATCCAGTAACGGAAGCCTGCGTCCGAAGAGTCGCGGTTTACTTACCTCAGTAAGCGTCGCAGCAAATTATTTTTGGTCAGAAGGTATTGCGCACATATTTGGGTGTAGAGGTGCAAAGCCATTGTCCGGATGATGAGGCTGGTCGATGCTCTCACGTCTTGCCCCTTTCACACTACGACTACGCAGATCGGATTATACCGGTAACAGGATCTACAACATCCCTGTACCCCACATGTCTTCATCGGCGAACAATCTTATCGACAATCTTGCTCACTGTCTGCCCAATCGGAATTTTCGATCATGAAGCTATCGATGGTAGCTCGACCAGGGCTGGCTGTCTGTCCGAGGTTCGACGCGTGCATTGAACCCTTCAAGTCAGGATGATGCTCGGACAATCCCCTGCCTGTGCGATAAGCCGGTCAAATTCTGGCATGACTTGTGTCAGTGTCACAGGTACCACTGGTACTTAGCAAGGACGACTAGAATGCAGTCATTCTTAGTCGGAGCAATAGCGCTGGAAACCTCATGTCAATGAACCACTGTCCGCGGACTCGACAAACGACCTTTACCCCCGACCTCGGGTTCCCAAATCACCTTCTTTATATTTTGTAATGTTTTGGCACCGTTCAATCGCGATTGCGCTGTGTGCCAGTGCTTTCACCATGTCAGCTGCAGCACCAGACAGTACTGCGGACGCATTAGCCAGAATCCCACCATGCGGAGTAAGGTCTCCTTCGAAGATATATGTATATGGATTTAGCTGAGCAGGGCAGCTTGAATGTATCGCGGAGAAGTTGCCTCTCATCGGTTGTGGTCTTCTCGACTTTGAGTGCCAATGCAACTCCAAAAACTCGACCGCAATCCTGCAACCGTGCTTGCTGGACAAGTGTACGTTTGATGAAACGTTTGGTATGTCTATGGCAGCATCAATTTTGACAATCACTAACCTTTGTACGGAAATCCTTCGAGCACAAGCCGATCTCTGCAATCGACCACACGATTCGTATACACGGCTCATGATGTCCACAGCATATGTAACAGGCATAATACCTGTCGTTGCTATTGCTATGCGCTTCGCATCGCGTTGGGTCGGTGGCAATCACTTCTGGTGGGACGATTGGATCCATCTGGTATCAGCTGTAAGTCCACAAGCACTAGCCGCTTTTTTTTTCATACTAACGATGGTTCGAGATGTTGTGTGTTCCGCTCATGGTCTGCTTCATACTCAACGTTGATGCGGGAGTCGGCAAGCATCTTTGGGACTTGACGTATCAACGTGTATACGACATTGGGCTGTGGAGTATGCATTCAAACACATACAACCTGTACGTCGTACTGACAACCGTGCAGCCTACATCATCACCATTCTTTGGGCAGTCGAGATGTTGCTACTCAAGTACAGCATATTATGCTTGTATCTCCGCATCTTTCCGAACATATGGTTGAAGCGGGCTGTCTTTGCCTTCATGGCCTTCACAGCTTGCTTTACACTTCCCCTCATCTTCACAGCAGCTATCCGGTGCAATCCGGTCCGGGCTCAGTGGGATCTCGAGGCCGCAAAGACAGCAAAGTGCCTCGACTGGCTCATCATCCTGAAGTTGTCAGTTGTCTACGAGATCATTGCAGAGGTCGTCCTGTTCGCCCTTCCCGTTCCGATCGTGCTCAAGCTGCAAATGGCGACCGCAAAGAAGATTGAGCTCCTCATGTTCTTTGGTGTCGGTTTGCTGTAAGGCGTCCAGACTTCACTTTGTGCTTACAAGACATTTACTGACTTGCCTAGTCTTATCGGCGTCGCAATTGCACGCGTGCCCTTCTTGAAGGGTGTTGTAGATCAGAGCGACCAGACCTACACCATCGTCGCCTCATCTATGAGTACCTTTATCGCTAGCGGCCTCGGTCACGTCTGCGCTGCAGTCCCCACAATACAGGCGTTGATACGATTCGTCATCAATGGCTTCAAGAACAAGACCCAAGCAGCCTCAAGCTATGGCCAGAGTGGTCGGTCATACGAATCAAGCAAAAAGAAGAGCTACAGGTCGTTGGAAGACAAGAAGAGCGCCGGCTCAAGCTACTCAGGCGCCACATTCAAGGTATCAAAGCAACGAAGCAAGGACGGCAGCAAGGACCCGTACAGACTCTCGACACAAAACTTCACGAGGTTCGAGTGTGATGGTGATGAGGTGGGTGAAGAACGTTCCATGGAGCTGCAACCAGCGGAGACCTTCGTCACCAAGCACACTTCCGGTCAGGCGGGAGAATCGCAGAGTCATGACAGCGGAGAACAACCCACCACCGTTGTCGTGTCCAGTTCTGTTCTTGAGGATTCAGCGTCCGACAAAGCTATATTAGACAGGGAGTACGTAAAGAGTACTTGAAATGGAAATTAATGATATTATAGTCCATTAGATCATCCAACGATACACATTCCCCTTGACTATGCAGGCAGTGCATGCAAGTCGCCGACTCAAGATGCAGCACAACAGGTACATCAGGCATGAACCTTCCGCGTCCTGCACTACAAGAACGCATTGCGACCCAGTCCTTGCACCTGATGAGCCGACCATCTGCAATACCAGACAACACTCGACCCGACCCTGTCTCGCACATCCAAACAATTCGCTTTCGTTATCACACTGCACCGCAGAACAGATGCAGTGCATCCAAACCCCATATTTTATACTCCTCGACAGCACACGTGGTAGTCCAACGGTCCGATTGCTGGGCGAGTACTAGTACTAGTAGTTCGTATATGATCGCCCAAGCACGCGCAGCATCGCCACTGAACCAGCAGCGTCTGGCATTGTCCCTCCGTCGCATCGAAACCGCTACTTATGGCCGAAAAGCCACATAATCGTATCTGAAGAGGAGGTATCCGAGTATTTCACATGGTAGGCAAGGATCCTCCAAATCGGCAGCCGAGTGCAAGCAGTCGCATGCCAACCTCGCAACCTCGGCCAAACTTTGAACGTCACCACCGCCTATCACCGTGGCAGCGCGCGAAAATCCGGGGGGGTTGGGGGGCCGCAAAAGACTACTGCACGCCACGAACGCTTGGTTCACCTGCGACGCATGGGATGTGCATTTTTCGTGTCGATCTTTGGCGGTGCGCCATGGGCGACGATGGCCATGCGAGCGCCGTTCTAGCTTGTTTTGTTAGTGTGAAGGGTATATCAGCCCTAAAGGGTCCAAGGGGTCAGCCGAGGCTTTGGAGTTTCTTTCGGCTTATTGGAGGGTCGATGTAACGGGGGACTACTACGTGTATACACGCTGCCCACCATGTCGGAATCGGTGAATTTTTCTTGGTTGCTGGTTGTGGGCATCATCGGACTCTAATGCCCAGTACAAGGTTCTAACCTCGAGACGAGGACGTTACTGTTTAGTGAAGGTTTCCGTTCTCAGCTTTCAGTGAAATATTTCCAACGTCCAGTCGTACATGTATACTTGGTGTCCTTGATTCATATGAATATCCAGATCTCAACGCAATCATAGTATTTACATTGTAAGAAATTAAGTAATAAACATAGGACACATCAGGACAGGATTTACATCCCTAAATCATGACGGTGATAATAATGACAGAAATAAACACCGCAACTGCAACTCCACCATGATTACAGCGGGTTGTTCCACTGGGGTAGACCGTTCCACTTCGTCTCAAAGTCTTCAATCGACTTTATAAAATCGCGATGTTCCTTATTCACTATCTGCTGGGCGGGCGAAGTGTTCGGACCGTCTTGCCACTTGGCCTTTTCTGCTTGTGTGACCCATGCAGCTTTCATCTTGGGAAGGAAACTGTTGACGAGACCTTCGGTCTTGGACTGCATCCTGGTGTATTGGCCCTTCATGTAGCTGAGCCATTCAGACTTGAGGTTCTGCTTGGACCATTTTGCGTATCCGGCGCGCTGGTTGGCGGGTAGCAGGGTTGTGTCGAGGGCGTCAAGGATCTTTCCTATTCGGTCCGTTTGGGTCTTCATGGTTGTCTGGATGGTCGAGTGGCTTTGGTAAATGCGAGAACCCATTGTGCTGCGCAGCTTTTGGAGAATTACCCTGGCCTCTGCATATTTGGCAATGTCATTGGTCCAAGAGGCAAAGTTCCACGGGTTTCCGCCCGCCCACGCGCTCGTCTTAGAAGGCGTGTTGATGGCAGACTCGAGGGCGATAAACTCGTCCTTCTTGTATGTCCTTGTCGGATACTGCGCCGCAATGTGCATAATGGGGTTCCAAGCCTTGCCTACGCCGCCAGTGGTGTCCTCGTTGGGCCACACAAAAGGAGGTACATCCCACAGCTCATTGACATAGTCACAGAAGGAAACAGTGGCTCCATTGGCCGCACCTGGCTTTGGGTCAGGCAGCTTAGACTTCCTCTTGTCAAGGTGCTGGAAGAACAGGTCGATCATCTGGGCCTCGAGAATGTGCTCCGTGTGATACTGGACGTTGGCAGCGCGTGCCTGCAAGGGGCTACCAAAGTTAAAGTTGCCGCAGTCTTCGGGATCAACCCAGCCCCAATCAAAGCCATTCAGCTGACCGCCCGGAGGGAAGTCGCCTGAGATGTCGCATGCCCGATCACAGGCCTGGACAAGCTTTTCCTTGGCTCTCTTGTCAAACATGTGCAGTGCCTCGCTTCCTGCGTGGTAATCATGGTCGTGGCTTCGCTGCTGATAAGCATGGAGATGTGCGGCAATGGCGTTTTCATCAATGGTGGACGTTGGCGTCAACACTTCCCTCTTGCGCTTGGCATCTGTCCAGACGCCGCCCTCATTGCTCGCTGCTAGGCCAGCGTATGCTTCCTGACACGTGATGCCCTTTTCACCGTCTTTGGAAGGGCAGAAATACTCGCCGGCATTGAGCGTAAGCGCTGGACCGTAGACACCACCTCTCTTGACCAGGGACGACATGTGTCCTCCAGAAATGTGCCTCGCGAGCAGACTGGTGCCATAGCTGTGCATAGACTCCACATCGGGCTCGGCAACTCCTAACCTCGATATGTTCCTGGTCACATCGTCGTCTTCGGAGCGGCCTTCAATGAGGAGGTGGCCCCGATTTTGAAGACTTCTCTTGGAAGGTATTGGGCCCAGGTCGGGACAAGTCCCGCCCTTGATGATAGTCTTTTCCCACGGGGTTGTCAGGTTGACCTCACCACCAGCCCAGCCAAATGTCCTGGGTGCCGTTGCTCTCGCAAACAAACGAGCGCCGATATCAAGACCGTAGGTGAAGGGGCACGTTGCTGTGGTTGAGACACCTGTTGCAAACTTGGTTGTTAGGCTGACCTCGCCAACGACTGCAGCGGCCGCCGGGTCAATCTTCCACTTGGGGTCAAAGCGAACGCCAAACTCGGCAGCGGCTGATAGCTTCAAGTTAACATCCCCAGAGGCGGTGACTCCTGCGTAGAATTCGGGCTTTTTGATTCCCGAAAAGTCACCCGTCCGATCCAAGCTTGGCTTGCTGTTGTCGATGAGTTGGGGCTTGTAGGAATTGCTGTCAGGCATGACCTGGCGAACCTAAATACAAGTATGAGTGGTCAGCAATTGTTTTCCTTATATTGGGGACTTGAATAAACAACAGGCAAAGAAGAAGTTTGCTACTCACTTCCCACTTGGCAATCTCCAGCTTGGTCTCAATCAAGCCAGCCATGCCGAGCGAGGCATCAACGCTGCCCTCGACAGTGAGCTGGGGACCTATGGTAGCGATTCCAGGAATCTTAAAAGAGGCACCGGGGAATGGCAGATTGAGAATGACCTTCTTCTGCTCGTACGTCACGCGGGCGAGTGCCTCAAGAGTGACGACACCGGTAACCCTGCCCTTGTTGTAGAAGGTCAGGTAGCTCTGCTCGAGGTTAAGGGGCAGGGTAAGACTCTCAACGATAAGGGTGAAGCCGAAGCTGGACTCGACTTCGATGTCGAGTACAGCCTGGCCGAGCAGATGGCCGTCGTAGTTGACGCCATCTACCGTTCCGGGGCAGTTCCACGATTCGTCAAATAGCTTTGCCGTGACACTGTCGTCATACTTGTGCGTGAAGTCGCGCTTGATCTCGGGCACGACGAGGGCAGCCAGCCAGTCGAGAATGCTCTTGCCGAACCAGCGCTCTTGCAGGTCTCGAGGGGCAATCTTGTCAAAGTGGAAGTCATCGCGGAATTCCTCCTCAAGCCAGCGCACCGGGTTCCCACCGACGTCTTCCAGCGTGCGCTTGGCCAGCCTCTTGCGGCCATGCACGTCTCGCTTCCGGGTGGCAGAACCAGCGACGATGTTTTTCCAGTAGTCGTCCTGGTTACTGTAATCGATACGCATCTGCGTGTTGCCCATGTCACGTGGCACGCGATGGAAGTCGTAGTCAAACGTCAGTTCGTACACAACGGGTTCGAGACTGGCGAGGTGCGAGAGATGACGGGGCAGGAGCTTCACATGGTCGCTGGTACTTCCTGGGGCCGGTGTCATGCTCTTTGCGACTGCATACTTGCCTGGCCCACAGCCCTTGGGCATCTGGAGAATGGTGCCCGGGACACCATGGCCGAGGCCAATCTTGTGGCAATTGCTGTTCGGCGTGTGGTCGTTACAGACCATACGCACCGTGTGCTCGCCCTCGGAGATGGAGTCGTTGCAGTCAAAGACATCCCAATTGGAGCCGTCGCGTTTGTCGAGCGAGATCTGGAGCGCCTCGGGCGAGACGAGTACGACGAACTGAAAGGCCGCCTCATTGGGGTTGTCGTCGCCGTCGTCGGACGTCTTGTCTGTCTTGAAGATGAAGTCGGTGTCAGAGCCGCCCTCAGGCGGGTGCTCAAACAGGTTCTTGAGGTCGACTGGCAGAAAGAGAGGCTCGCCATCCGACTCGCAGCAAAAGGTGCGCACACGGTCGATGTGAGCGCCGCAAGTGTCGCTGCCGCCAAAGTACGAGTCGGTGATCTGGACCGTCTTCATGTCCGGACAGTGGCCGTCGAAGCAATTGCCGGGTTTTCCATACCACGCGCAGTTCTTCCACTTGGAAACCTCCTTCTCTGGGCAGCAGTAAAGCTTCTTGGTGTCAATGTCCAGCTCCTCAAGAACCTCGAGCAACACGAGCCCCGTAAGCGCCGCCAGCGGGTACACTCGACCGACAATGCGCAAGATGACCTTGGCCACATCGTCGAGGATGTCGAGGACGGTGCCGGAGAAGGTCAGGGGAAGTTCACCACTGTGGCACTTTTCACCCACGCCGCGCCACTTGCACACATTCTTCTCTCCTAGCGAGCTCTTGCAGCAATGCGCCAGCTGGCCATCCGAGCAGTCGTAGCCGCCGCCGTACTTGCTCATGTGCGTCATGACTTCGTCGTCCTTGCAGTAGCCGTTGCACCATATCGCCCCGCCTCCACGCCATGCGCACGACTTGGGGTCAGGCGCTCCCGACAAGGGACAGCAAAGAGTGCTCTTCTGTTTCTTACCGCACTTTTGGTCGGTAATCTTGATCTCGCCCGACTGGCAGTCTTCAACACCACATTTCGTAACGTAGCACATGTCATTAGTACCCGTCCAGTTCTCGTCTCCCTTGTCGATCGATTTGAAGTCACCCAAGGGCTTGGGGTCTAGGACCGCAGCCAGCGCAGTCATCTCAGCGTCGTCCTGGTCTATGGCCCAGATCAGGTAGCCTCCGAGCCCGAGCTTGGCCGCCAGTTCCTTCTTCTGCTTGAACGTCTCCTTGTCATCAAAAGATACCCACTGGTCAGTATTCCATGTAATGTACTTGACACCGGCCTCCTTGTCGTGGATCGGCTTGATCTTGTTGTTCTTGATGACCTCTTGGATCTCGCGGTAGCTCAAAATGCCAGACTCGCCACTGCACGCTCCCTTGGTTGCGCCTCCCTTGAAGAGACAGCCGGGCTTGTTACACGACGGATCCGCCAGCTGAAAAGCGCGACCATAGAAACCAAGACCCATGTTTAACTTGTTTGCTGGGACGTCGTTCCTCCAGAAGAGGTCAAACGCCAGGCTCATCTCCGTCAGGTTGGTGTGACCGTAGATATGAGAACCAATCGGGTTTTCACGATCCCAGACACCGTGAAGACTGTTTGTGCCGTTAGTCTACGTGTGAAGAGAAGAAGAATAAAATCACTTACTCATATGACATGACGTTAACAAAGTCGGTATACTCAACCGACTTGAGATCAAAGTGGCGCAGATACCAGAAGCTTGTCGGAGCTGTGTATGACACAATGTACTTGACGGGTTGCTTCTTGTTCTCCTCCTGGAGCTCCTTTAGGAATTGGGTGAAGTTTACACCGTCCTCGGGGACACCACCGCGGTCGTCCGCACCGGGATACTCCCAGTCAAAGTCGACACCATCGAAAGCGTACATGCGGAGGAACGACATGAGGTTTCCAATGAACTTGGACCGGTTCGCTTTGGTACTAACCATGTTACTGAACACCTTCTGCAGAGGGCCGGGATCGTTGTGCGTCCATCCACCAATGGCAATAATCATCTTGAGGGCTGGATTTTTCTTCTTGAGGTTGGTGAAGTCGGTGAACAGCTTGTCAGGCAAGTTGTCCATGCCGACGATCTGGAAGTCGGGTTGGATAAAAGCAAAAGAGAAATACAAATGAGTCAGCGAGTTGACGGGGATGTCGTCCAAGCCCTGTATTTCACCGTCAGTCGGGCATACATGATGTTGGGTAGTAGGGTGCAATTACCATGTCCTGACATTTGGAGTCGTGTCTCCATGCCTCATAGTATCCAATCACACGGTTGAGCTGATCGGAAGCCTTGTTCTTGGGACCTGGCTGATCACAGTTCGACTGGCAACCGCCAGTAGCTCCGTGGTCTTCCTTTTCACAAAAGTCCCTGTTCGTCCAATCGTCAATACTGATCTACAACGCTGGCATCTCCATAGTTTGGAAGTGTACGTACTTTGTCATTCCGCAGAAACCCCACTTGCCACAGCAGACGTTCAGAGGACACTTTTGACCAGGGATAGCTGCATTCTTACCGCATTCTGCCTTGGCATTGCAGTTTGACCAGCACACCTCATTGGGAGAAACTCCAGATGTGCCGCAGGCTCTATACGAGAAAAGAACATATTAGCCATATTCCAGAACAACATGACACAAACCACGGAAACAACAAAGCGAACAAGAAGAGAAACATCATTTCACAAGTCCAAGGACTTAAAATATGGGAAAGGGGGAACGTACTTCTCGCCATAGTTACACTGGCCGGTGGCCTTGGGACAGCAGGCCTTGTTCTTGCAAGGACGGTCGGGACCGCAGGTGTAGTCATCGCCACCAACTACCTGTCTTCCAAACAGGGAGGAGAGCTCAGTGCGTCCTATCAAGGACACGCCAGTCTCGAGCGACGCCGGGACGATTTCGCGCCCATCAGTGTCAACGCTACCATTGTTGTCGCGAGCAACAACAAGACCCGAGCTGTCAGCACTGCAGACTGGCAGCTCATGGTCATGGCGGCTCTTGGCCGAGTAATCAAAGGGTCTAGAATTTTGCAGTGGCAAGTCAGCGCAATGGACTCTACTGGTCCAGGTCTTAGGACATGGCTCAGAGAAGTATACTTACGAAATGACGGCGCGACAGGCACCAGGGATTTCGGGTACCGTAACCGCGCTAGCACTACCAGGTCTTGTTGTGATGACTGCTCCAAGAGACGGGGTAATGAGAGTAGATAGGAGAACACAGCTCCATGAGAGCTGGGACAATAGTCCCATAGTTGCGTTTAGGGCTGAGCTTTTGGAGACTCTACCCAGCAACAGAAGATAATGATGATCAAAAGAATGTGGTCCCTAATAAGAGAGTTGCGGGGGGTTGGACAGTTTACAAAGAAATGAAATGAAGGAGCATTTGCAGAGGCAACAAACAAAGTCAGCTGCCAGATATCTATAGAGTAGTCGGCCGAAAAGATAGAAGGTGCCGCAGAGTATGGGGTGACAAAAGAGCTTGGCTGGTGTTCTGGAGCAACCCGGCCCCCAACCTCAATCTTGATATCCATACTGAATTCCCTTACCCTGCATCTGCCAAAGGCTGTGTTGGGACCCAGGCGGCGAGGCCTCGGCCCTACTGTATCCCTGTGCCAGGCAAGGCCGAAAAGTATCGAAAATCGATGTCAAAAAGGTCATTTCCTTATTTTTCCATTCATCCGCTCGCAGACAACCGCCAAGCATTACCTCTTTAGGAAAAAGGGTCGCAGCATATTGAGTTTCTCATCTGATATGGTGCTTACTGATGGGAGTTCGATATGCCGAAAAGCGGGCCGCTTCATTACCCCTGCATGAACCCTGCATGAACCCTGAGCACACAAGCAATAGAAAGCCTTGTCTCGGCGACAACCGTCCCGTACCGACCGTAAAAGGCCAACGGTTCGCCTGACGCTAGGTCTAAAAAGTAGAGGTCGAGCTGACCAAAACCACTGCGTAGTTGCGCGCCTTACACAGAAGCGAGATAACCCAGCACGTATTTACAGCATCCAGAAATCAGCTTTACATCTAATTTCGCCCCATCATCAAGAAAACATCCCGTCTAGGCAGGTAGTTGTAGATTAAAAAGCTTTTGCATAGTACGTTGACCGTTCTTCTACGTGAAAATTTCCCAGAGTGGATTGCTCTGGTGACCTGAACTGACGATCATCGATACCTTGGCAGCAGGATCTTATGATTCTCTCTATTGCATCGGGCGTTTACACCCCGCCTCGTGCCGACCGGGACAACGACAAGTTGTATCGGTTGCATTTCCTCGGAGGAAATTTCCCCTCAGACCTGGGCGACTATTCTGCGCCTCCATTACTCTGGAGTCATTGGCACTTTCTGAATTACTTATCACTCTTACGGTCCCCAGTTATTCTTGATGCCTGGGTACACACAGTACTCCCTCCATCCATCGTTTGGATGAACCACCCTCTTCTACTCACTGTTCATTCTTTTAACTCTTGGTGAGAGAGGTAGGAAATCACGATCCTTCAACATCATGGTGGCCTTACGGCAATGTTTGTTGGGTCTCGGGGCTCTTCTGAGCCTGAGTCCCAGCACTGTCTTCGCTGTCAAGATGCTCTACGACGACAGCCTTCCCGAGGATCTCGACGCGGCATGTTCTGCAGCCCTCATGGCTGATGTCGCTTGCGACCGCCTCGTACCGGCCCTCCGCCATGACTTCTTCTACCCTCCTGCCACGCTGACTCGCATGTGTACCGCTGGGTGCGCTTCCGCGCTTCAGTCATGGGAAAACTCGGTTCGGTCCGCCTGTGGCAAAGACCTTGTCATTCCAGACCTTGATGCGTCACCCATTATGTTGCCATCCAGCCGCCGGTACATCTATGACTTCACATGTCTCAAGGAAAACAACGCCTTCTGTGGTCCCGTTGCGGCCCTGGCGACTTTCTTCACAAATCCTGGAGGTGAGTCTACTGCCCAGCGCACCAGCTTCCACATGACGTAATGGCGGCCAGTTTCAGAATCGCTAGCACACCATTACTGACAACTTGACAGTTTCCGCTTTTAACTATATCTATGAACTTCCCCAGGGCGCTGTTAAGCCCTCGGATTGTGACCCGTGTCTTGCAGCCAGACTGCGCCTACGATCCGGGTCACCCTACTTTGATGATCCCATCGTGGCCAGCCAGTCCATGTATCAAACCCTGACGTCCAGCTGTGGCATCACGGGTAAGCCTGCTACTACGTCTACCATTGACTATTTCACCGGCCAGCCGGAGCCCACTGAGTCAGCCTGCGACGGCACCACGTACCAGATAAAGGGCAGTGACGATTGCTATAGCATCTCTAAAGCCCAGAGTGTCGGTACTGCCTGGATGCTGTCCGACAACCATCTCGCTGCTTATTGTTACGAGTTCCCAACTTCGGGTAGTCTTTGCATCACCAACACGTGCAAGACTGTTACAGTGGAAGTCAACACGACGTGCAAAGCCATTGCTACGGCTGCGAAAATTACAGAGCCACAGCTGCTGGCTTGGAATCCTGTTATCAACCCGGTCTGCTCCAACCTCGACATGATGAACGGCACCACGCTTTGCATCGAACCACCTGGACCCAAGCTGCCACCCGCTCAGACGACGAACGTTCCTCCTGTGACGCCTACATCTGCTGCTCCAATTCCCTCCAATACTGCCATTGGATCTAACAAGCCATGCGGCCGCTGGTACGAGGTCGAAGCTGGCGACTATTGTAATCTGGTTACTCTCAAGTTTGCCATCTCTCTCGATGACTTTATGTTCCTCAACACAGGCATCAACTCCAACTGCACTAATCTTTTCGCCAAGGAAAGCTACTGTGTCCAGGCAGTTGGTGATATCAACAACTATCCTGGTCGTCCTGGATATGTCTCTATCACCTTTGACCCCACCGCGTCCTTTACTGGCGTCCCCTTTACCATGCTGCCCAACGCCACTATGACTCTGGATCCAAGACCGACTAAGATCCCATTGGCCACCGGTGTCCGTGAGGACTGCGATTTCTACTTCAAGGGTGATGAGTATCAGTACTCGCCTGACGTGTTCGGGTACTGGAACAGCAACTGCGAGATTGCAGCATCCAACTATAACGTCGACTTTGACAGCTTCGTCGCTTGGAACTCGCTCACGACAAACGTCACTGACCCGGCATGCGTATTCCAGGTCGGCCTGCGGTACTGTGGCTCCTGGGGCCCGCAACCCACGCAAGCCACCACCACAGCGCCCGAGCCCACGGGTACCGGACCCCAGCCGCCAGCCCCCACACATGAGGGTCAACCGTCAGACTGTGATGGCTGGCATGTTGTGTCTGGTAGTGACTCGTGCCAGTCCGTCGCCGACAGCGCCGGAATTTCCCTTGCGACATTCCTCGAATGGAATCCTGCCGTCAGCGCCGACTGTACCGCCAACTTTTGGCTCGGACAGGCATACTGTACACACAGGCAGGGTCAGGGCATTAGCATTACAAGCTCTGCATCCAGCACAGCGTCGACAACGGCCAAACCTACACCCCCAGCTCCCACGCACACCGGCCAACCTGCCGACTGTAACAAGTGGGATGTCGTGGCCGAAGGCGATAGCTGTGGCTCTCTAGCCAGCGACAACGGCATCTCAGCCGACCAATTCTTCGCCTGGAACCCTGCCGTTTCCAGAGACTGCCTCACAAACTTCTGGCTGGGACAAGCATACTGTGTTGGTAGATCCGGAAGCGGCTCCGTCGTCACAACAACACCATCATCAACGAGATCCTCTACCCCATCCCCAACCGCAGCTCCAACCCCTCCCGCACCAACACACACGGGCCAGCCATCAGACTGCAACAAATGGGACGTCGTGGCCGAAGGCGATAGCTGCGGCTCCCTCGCTAGCGACAACGGCATCTCAGCCGACCAATTCTTCGCCTGGAACCCTGCCGTTTCCAGAGACTGCCTCACAAACTTCTGGCTCGGCCAGGCCTACTGCGTCGGCCGATCCAGCGTCGCCGGTGGTACCCCTACTACTAAGACGACGTCGACACCATCGACAGCGAAGCCGACGCCGCCTGCGCCAACGCATACGGGGCAACCGGCTAACTGTAATAAGTGGGATGTCGTACAGACGGGCGACGGCTGCGCGTCGATGGCGAGGGACAATGGTATCACGGTTGATCAGTTTTATAGCTGGAACCCTGCTGTCTCGAGGGATTGCGTGACGAACTTTTGGCTTGGGCAGGCGTACTGTGTTGGTGTTTCTAGCTAGGAGTAATTATCAAGATTCGTTGTGTAATTCTATTGATATGTGGGGCTAGCGGATTTATTGTTTGCTGGGGACTTAGATATAAAGGTCACGAACGTATTGGTCTCTTTCTGCTGGATGTCCAGACGATAGGCTCATTATACTCATTGCGGTCCCTCGCCCGACTATATGGGTGAAGACTCACTGTTTCCCAGCAAGTCGTGTCCCGCTGTAGATCTATACTTGTCCCACTCGAACTCGAGCCACTCCTGTCGTCCTAAGCTTTCGAACAAACTCATGACTTCCTCGCTGGGTCGCCAGTCGCCAACCCGCCACTGCACCACCGGTGGTGTTAATCCTTGACCAGCAGCATCATCAACTTTCTGCCTCTTACTTCCACGTCCAGCAATAAATTTGACGCCCCATCTGTGACCTTGTTTCATTGGAAGGTCATATTTCTCCACATCTCGGTCGTCTGAAGGGTCCCACCATAGGTGCGTAAAAATCTCTGCGTCCTCAAGACTTGGCATATTATCGCGAGTCAGAGACTGTGCGAATGCAGCAAGTAGGGGCTCGATCCGCTCCCTGCAGGGCTCAATGCGGAACATGTCCAGATCGTAATCGTACTCGTCATCCGGGTTATCGCCATACTCGGAGTCAAGTTTTATGTCCTCATCCGTGTCAGTTTCGCGGGGGTAGTGTTTTGTGTCTGAGATGTTGTATCCTCCTTCTTCAGAGTCGTGTGGATCTTCGCCACCGGGGCCAACAAAGTACCACCGCCCGTCTGGGCGGAGGGAGTGGAACTCGAGCCGGAATCGCCGCATCTGTGTCCACTGCTGATCCTCTGACGCCTCGGGACTGGGGAACAGGTCTGGAGTGACCATAGCACGCACGTCAAACAGGCTTAATTGCGCACCGAGCTTGCACAGGCCAATAGAGACGGGGTCTTTCTCCGCGGGATGGATCAGGTTTGGCCGTGCCACCGACTCGTCATGCTTGGGGCGCGAGAAGAAAGGCCAAAAATGCAGTGCGGCTCTGGTAAGACTGGCGGAGATCCTTTTACCGCCGAGGTGCTTCTCCTGGTCCATGATGGCAGCGCCAAACTCGTGGCGGGCGTCTCGGAGGGGGCCTTCCCACGGCCAGGTGTAGTACTCGCGCATCGCCCTACTCGGCATAGAGGCCGGCATAGGCCGCTCCCACAACCAGGGGGCATTCCATTCCTGGACAGCCGGTAGGTGGACAAGGCATTGTAGAGGCACGAGGGGAGACAGAGGGCGTATATCTGTTGCGTTCTCAGCGCCCGAGCCATAAGCTCTTGACCTGATGGTCAGACTGCTCACAAAGGGCAGATCTGGTAGTGTCTCAGGGTCCTGCAGCTGCAGGCGGCGCGAGTGATATCTGCGATGGTGGCAACCTGGCTCCTCTGGGTCAAAGTTTTGCGGCTGAATTTCAAACTTGATGGCGATGCTCGCCGGAGGATCCTCAGTCTGGTTGTAGATGGCAGCAATCTGCTTGTAGAAGGCATGGATGCGTGTCGACATGTGGGCGCTGACGGCAATGGTTTCCCCAGCAGGTTCATGGCATGGTAGTGGCTTCTCCGCATATTCATCGACGAGGAGGAGCGGCAGCGGGAGATCATATTCGCAAACCCCAAACTTCGCGCCTAACGCTGCCTTGGCCGTTTCGAGAATCTCATTCTCGAAGTCTGGGTCCGTCTCGCGAAGTGGCATGTTGATTGATATGTACAATGTTCGGAATTAGTGTTGGCGGGGACGCGGAGTGGAGAGCAGCGGGAACGACCATTTTATAGCCGGGGGGTCCCCGGTTCGCTTCAATCTTAGCCTGAGCTTGCCTCTTGGAGGCGTGGAAGGATCACTCGTAGGTGGGTCCATTACCATAGGCCCACTTAACGATCGACTTTGCGGCAGAATCCTTTCTTCCAATATGCAGATGAAAAGCCCTTTCTTTATCTCTCGTTTGATGATATTCTTTACTTGCGAGTAAGCCGACAGCTACCGATGTGGGAAGTCAGTATAACCGTACCGCTCCACTGCAAGCAAGTCATCTTTGGATGGTGGCAATGCGTCTTGATGTTACACTTGGTGTCAAGTAAGCATTGACGTACTTTAATGAGCTCATTTTTTTTTCGTTTGATTCTTACAATTGAAGCTCCATTGGAATTCATTGAATATGTAGATATGGCCTCGGGAGAGTGGGTAGCGACTGAACGCTGAGCCGTTCGCTTACTACTAACCTATATCGCTCATCTCCAGGGTGCAATGGTGCTGGAAACGAGCAACGGACTATGACCTGATCTCATTGAACCGTATGGCTCCATGAAATGTCACATCATAGGCAACCTGATTTTGAATAAACCAGGAGAAATTTCTTATGACGATGCATTCACTTCCTGGGTGAAAGTCATTCTCAATAATACAAAATTCATAGTATATGGCAACAAAATATGTGAGTGCCCCTGAACGGGCAGGGTTTCTAGATACACGCAGCCTCAGACCTTAGAAGAGAGCGCGTAAGACTACTTTACATAATCCTTGGTTCCACTCAAAGCAGTGATGTTGGCAAACCAAATACATGGCAATCTGTCCCTAATGCGGCCAAGATCAGTCGACTGTGTAGCAAATGCATGCTAATGCTATATATTCTTTGTATGATTGCTGGCACGGAGATGATCGCAACTTTCCAATCTGGCTCACGTACTATCTTTATACCAACCGAGGAAAGCTAAAAAGGCCACTCGAAGAAGTACATACATCCTACACCTTCGGGTCTGTTCGGTTGAAATCCTTCGTTCAGCTGCTAACCTCAATCCGAACTCCGTCTAGAACACTGAGATGGGATCGGAGACGAAACATCGAGAACGGAACAGGCCCTCCGTGATACCCGTCTACAATTTTTATTTTCTTCGACTGAAACCAGACCGATAGGCATGCTCATCAACCGATCCTAACTGGGAATTTCAAAACCTAACAATATATAGTCATTCGTACGAAACTTTCGAACTGAAGGTTTACACCCGAAAAAGAGGTCAGCACGGCAAACGTATTTATGAGTCGAACAACTGTAGTTATGGAAAGTAAGGCAATAAAGAAGCCTATATTCTAAACCCAGAGCTCTATCTTGAATGCATGCAAGTGAGTGATAGCCCATATGCTATTCATGATCGTGCGCACTCGCCTCAGACGATGCATACCAGATTCATCAAGTGCAGTACTACCGAAATAACACCGAAGCCGTCAATCTAACCCACGCCTGTACCCCAATGGGTATGACATTCGATATTGGGACCTTGTAATATTACGTGTGAAACGAAAAGTAAAAAAAAAATCAAAGTTTTACGGCTGGTAGAAAAAATATCTAGAACACCCAGCAGTATTTTACAAATATTTAAACGGCTGCTATTCCATCTCCAGTTTCACAGCATACACCATTGTTTCATCGTTGATACACACTATGGCGCTCTTCTTCCTTTTGCAGACTCTATGACGAATAGGTTTGATGTCCCTTTTGAAAGAAAAAAAAGTAAAGCATTTATCTTGTCGAATAAACTTTTACCCCTATGCCATGTGGGGCGGTGTATACCGCCTCCAGAGGGTTAATTGGTATTTCTAATTAGAACATGGCCCCACTCTTTTGGCATCAGACGAAAGACTCTCTCTGTTGTATGAACGAATCAAGAAGTCACTTTGTTTGAGTTCGCCACGAATTGTAGAGAGTGTGCGCCACGCTATTGCAATACATCATAAGAAACCTATGATCAATGTGAATCTTGCGCATCCAGTCATAATACCAAACCATCTAAAATAACAATAGTAAGCTTAGCAATAGGATTCGAGAAAGAAGCTATATACACCTAGCTAGAACACACTAGCCATCTAACTGCACCCCACTATATACCCGGTTGAAGTCCAGAAGCTTCTTACAAAGCGCCAACCAAGGTGTTGTAAGCCTGCTTGGGCTGGTAGTTAGTGTCGAACAAGAGAGGGCGGTCGTTGGCGCGCCAACTGTCCTTGTCGGAGACACCCCAGACGGTGATACCAACACACTTGGAAACGGCAAGACAACCGTTCATGACAGTCAGGAAGTCGCTTGCTGCGGCGCCGGCGATATCGAGCTCAGTGATGGCAATCTCCTTGACATTGGCGCCAGCCAGTGTCTTGAGGGCGTTGGGGACGCCGGAGGCTGGGTTCCAGCCGCCAGGTGCGGCAAGATGGGCTTGTGTGCCAATACCGTCAATGGGAATGCCCTGGGACACCCACTTGTTAACGTGTGCGACCATACCAGTGGTAACCTTGGCGTAGTTGGCAATGTCCAGGTTGTAGTCGTTGATGTAGAGCTTGGCGTTGGGATCAGCGGCGCGTGCGGCGCGGAAAGCGATACCAACAAAGTCTTCGCCGAGGACACGGCTGAAGACGCTGTCTCGAAGTTGGCCGTTCTCGGCGAAGATCTCGTTCACGACATCCCACTGCAAGATCTTACCCTTGTAGTGGGTGACGATCTGTGTCACGTGGTTCTGGATGACGGAGGTCAGGGTAGCGCGGTCGTTGATTTGCGTAACCCATGTTGGCAGCTGCGAGTGCCAGAGGAGTGTGTGACCACGCAGGAGCTTTCCGTTCTGGGTGGCCCAGTTGACGACGTTATCAGCGTTGGTGAATGTGAACTTTCCACGTGATGCTACATACGAAGAGAAGTCAGTTTACGATCATGGATCCCGGGTGAAAGTACAAGTTGGGCACTCACATTCAGTAGCATCCCACTTCAAGCTGTTCTCGTGGGTGATCTGTCCAAAGCTGTTCTTGGCGATCGTCATGAGAGGGGCGTTGTTCAGGTGGTAGTGGTCGATTTCAGTGCCAAAGTAGATCTTTCCCTTGGCCTTGAACTTCTCATGCAATCCACCTGCAGCTCCTGAGCCTCCACCACTGCCACCTCCTCCACCATTGCCTCCAGTAGGAGCAGGGTTGCTATTGCCAGTAGTAGTGGGAGCGGGGGATCCGCCACCCGTACCAGGAACGCACTGGAAGTAGTAATCACTGGAAGTAATGGTAAGCGAAATATTCATTCAAGCATCTCTGTGACTCATTAGAAAGAGCTCTTACTTGACCTTGTTGCACACCGAGCCGGAAACGCAGGTCGTGGAGCCGCCCCATCCAATACCACCACCTATTCAAAGCGAGATCAGTAAACCATTACCATCCAGAGATCATTTGAGGAATGACCTACATTGGCCGTACAGAGGAGATTGGCCGAGAACGACGGCGGGGGCAACGGCGAGTGCGAGAGTAGAGGCGCGCATGATGATGACTTCCTGGTACTCGGGAAGATCGATGGTCGAGAGCTAATAAGCAATAGATTCACGACTTTATGAATGGATTTGCTTTCCTCTTATTCCCTTGTCACAACGCTGAGAGCCAAGACATGAACAAGGTATCACAATCAAAATCCGCTTGAATAGAAAGCCAAGAGGGCGGAAGCGGAGGCCGACATATTGGGAAAGTCAGAATCCCACGAGTAATGAGGCGGGGTACATGCTTCCTATACTACGCCAAGACTCCGTCCCTTTGGATTCCACTGTTTTCATCAATAACGAGATGGCACATGGGCAAAGCGAAGTGGAAACGCCCGACCCCAAGTCCCCAACCCTAGGGCCGGACTCAAGTCTCCAACTCGACTGTGTATCCGTGTTCCGAGCGTGTGAGCAAGTGTTGCATCACAATTCCTGGTCGAGTCCACGAATGGCATGTCTACGAATAACAAGGGTCCGTATATGTTTTCATTTGCGGCGACTCAAGGTTGATGAGGAGAATTATATTAACTGGCCAATAACGTTGCCCAAACATCTCAAAAGTGCGCTGAGCTAATATGGTTGCACGGAGCCAACTGCCGCATGGGTTGTCGCTCTGCTTGGCAAACGAGTTCCTGACTGTGACACCTTTGAGTAGTAAGTAGACCGATGATGCTAGAGATACTTGAGTTAAGATGAGCAACGGTTGAAGGAGAAATCCGACACCTAACGGGATCGAGATCGAAACTAGACCGAGGTTAAAGGCAACAGGCTGATAAGGTAAGGCGCTATCCCTGATACGGCTGGTAACATTGCAAGGACCACTTCGTATACATAGTTCCCCGGCAGATGCGGCAGTTCGAATGGTAGTTGCATTGCTACTCAGTTCAGACGGCATCTAACCTTGTTCCTTTGATAATCTTTGAAGGTTCCCAGCTAGCAAAATTTCACGAGTACTTATTGAGTTAGTAGTAGCACGAGGGTGTGTCTTGATGGCGCGAGATGGTAGGATCAAAATCATCATGCACAAAACTAGTATTTTGGAATTATTTAAAGTTCTCAACAAATACAACGACATTTAACCACACTTTCCAAACCGCCATTAAATTCATGGGTTCTGTGATATGATTTTCCGCATGGGTTGCGGGGACATCGCTCCAGGATATTTTACAAACCAAGGGTAAGAACTCGATGCACGAGTCAAAAGATTTCAATCCATGATCAATCGTTCGAATATGAGAACGGTCTAGCTACAGTCTTTCGTAGTAAGATAGCTACGACACAGCTTTCGTGTGAAAAGATTTCGAGTAGGTGGTATCGCATTCCCATTGCCCAGCCTGAAGGAACGAAGCTTTTCCACCCTAAGCAGCATACTACGGCGCAATACCGGAACCAAGAACTTAGCAAAAAACAGACTGGCGATCTCATAGAGTTAGTGCAATAATGAATCTGATGGAGTTGCTGAGCAGCTGGGCTAAGTACAGAATATTCGCCAAAGCACTATGCATAATTAGTATATCAGGTGCCATTGCCACAATACAGCAGAAGTTGTACTCCCCATGAATAGTCGAAACCAGGCGGTTCTGCAACACCGTAAGCCCTGGCCTCCGCCCGTCCCCATACCCCAAGGGAAACCTTTCGATAGGACATTAAACCCGAACAAACAAATAAAAAAACCCCCCGCAGAAGGTATGCTAGCCTGCACTTCAAGAAAAGATTTCAAAAGGCTCCGTCGTTCCAGCGTTGCACACATCACACTCCATAACCATCGCAGTCAAGCCTGGTGTTCAGATTTCACCGTGTCCCACACTTCCAATCCTCGTAAAAAAACATCATGAAAGAATCGTATAAATCCCATCGACCTCAGTATCCCCCTCGCAATAGCATGATCGCTTAGCCATGCCCCCCATCCTTAACCCCGCGTCTCTCAAAGAGCTAACCGCTCATTCCTTCCCTTCTCGAATCAACGCGGTTCAGGGTCTGAGGATAATACAACGCATTGTGCTTTGCAGTGGGGAGGTTCTGCCAATTAATCGAGGGGAGATACCGCGTATGCAAGAAAGCAGGTTAGGGAAGCAATTTGTTCCGGAGCATTGATGCTCTTCTTGAGTTCGGCATGAATGTGTAATGCGTTGTGCGTCTTGCTTATATGGGAAAAAGTCGTCGGTAGTGCCAACGTACGCTACTCACCACGCTGAGACCGAAAGGATGGGACGACTCGGAGAGAAATGTAATCGACAGATTGAAGCATTCGTGGGTCAACAAGCATTGGAGTAGTACGGAAATTCATTATTTTACTTTTTAGTTAGAAAAGGGTTCTTATCCTATAGTAGTACAAATACAAGCGCACGCAGTAAGACTCCTGTCATCGCAGCCGTTGCGTAAGTTCTATCGACTTTGCCTTTTCAGGCGCTAATAGCTGGTTCGTCCCTGATTCTAAATCTGGCATGCTACCGTTTCCCGGCGGCATGATTCCAATGTGATCGACGCTTGCTTCAAACGTTTTTACAGACTCCTTTCTACTCTGGCATCGTAAGCTAAACTCGTCCATCTTGGTGAAGGGGCCTGTGCTGCTATCCCCCGTGTCGTGGTGTGACTTTTTGATTCCGGTCCATCTGCTGAGATTGAGGGAATTGGTGCCGAGTGTCCTTTTATTGCTTAGTAGGTCTTTGTGCTTGACGATGCTGACAAGGCGGTTGAGGACTGAAAACTCGATTTTGAGCTTGACGCTATACACGGCTGTCTTGTAGGTTGTTTGGATTTGATAGTGGTCTGAGAATTGGACGGCGAGAAGGGTGATGTCGAAGATCAGGACCATGACATTGACAAGGATGAGATGTCTGAGGAGCTTCTTGATGGGCTTCGGAGCCTTGCCGTCATGGCCACCAAGCAGGAGGACCGTCTCGTAGATGTAAATCATGGATATGATTGTTTCCTGGACAACGATGACGACAAGTTGTATCTTGTCATAAATCAAGAAACCGGGGAGGAAGCGAGCGGAATGCTTGGAATTGGCGCCCATGGCTAGGGTAAATAGTGGGACGCCGAGGACGACGCCAGTGAGGATGATCATGTACAAGACCCAGCGAATCCGAGCCTTGTCCCGAACAACCAGATGCAGACGCGAATAGAGGACGACGGATTGTCCGATGACCATGCATGCCCAACCGACACCGATGATGGCGCTTGACAACAGATCCATCTTGGTGACTTGGAAGAACTTGAGGACGAATCCAATCGCGTGAGGAGCGATGCCGAAGGTTGCAATGAAGAAGCTCCAAAAGTACAGTCCTGTGCGCTGCTTGAAGACGGCAAAGATCAGGAACATGATCTCGACAACGTTGTACATTGAGATGGCAAGAAAAGCAGCCATGGTCATCAAGATGCCTAGACTTGCAGTGACACCACCGACGATGCCTATCTCCTTCTCTTGGGCCATGGCGGAGGCGACGGGTGCCTGGAGGAGGGGTAAGGGTGTTCTAACTAGGTGCGAGCCCGGACGGAACAGACGACGATGATCTGTGAGAAAGACATGGAGAGCACATGAGGACAAGGGATTAATCTACAGAAGATAGGGTATGAGGGGGGTCTGCGGAGTGGGGGAGTAAACGAGGAATATGGGTGGGCAAAACCAGCCGATGGCACGCGCCGCCTCGCCATGGCAAACCTTGCGGGTGATCGCAAGAGGTGGGAAAGGTGTGTGTGTGTCCGTGTGTCAGTGTGTCCGTCTGTGCAGTGTAGATAGAACCAAGAGTAGTAGATGGACGGGATGGCGAAGGGAAAGGGGGATGTCGTTCCAGACAGGCGGCCGGATCATCTTCCCCGAGTCGGTGGCGAGGCTGTGTGATTGGCGCGGGCGGGCTGGCCATGCACGCAACGCCGTATGGTTGGCCAAGTGCTTGGGGTCGCGGATTTGGGCGTCCAACAATGGCGTGCCTTGAAATGTGATTCTGCTGCTCATTTGCGCCCATTTGCGACTTTCATGGCCTCGCCCGCGCTTTTGCATGTCAGGCCATGACCTGCATGTGCATGCGCCGCGCCACACAATGGCCCCCCTCCGACGGCTTGGTCATTGGAACACGACCAAGTCGCTTACGGAGATCCTGTCCGATCCACGATGCCGCGTCTGCGGGACAAGGTCAGCCGCAGCGTGGTGCTGATTTCCTGATATGTACATCTGCATGCTTGGTTGGTTAACCAAGTCGAGTATCGCTGAGATTCGACATACTGCACGACTCAGCACACAAAGCTTGTACGCCCTGTTCACCGTTCGCGAATCAGAGAGCGCGCAAGTACCGACCTTGTTTACACTAAGTACTTAGCAACATGTGCCTGACCCCGGAATCCATTCATGCGTGGCTTGGTTGCGTCACTAGCTGGAGGCCTAGGGACCATGCCAATGTTGCCTCTCCTTGTCTGAGCCCTACGAGACAAACTTTATAGTTCCTACCAGCACGTTGCTAATCGATGCTGACCCGTGTGACTGCTCTGGAGCATCAACGGGTGCTTCTTGTTGTGCGCATCATTCCCAACAGTTGACAAACTTTCATCAAGCGAGCGAAGACTGTTCAGTTACACTTCGTATCTGCCCATACGGTTCGTTCCTCGCCCATGTACTTACCCAAGCACAGCAGGTTCTCCAGAGTATTGCAGCCAAGCGTTTTTTTTATAATTGCTTGTTCTGCTGTATTCGCAATTCAGCTATCCAGCCAAGCCGGCACGTATCCTACTCAGGTGGGCACACATCAGGTTTTCGCAGTGAAATGGCCATGCAGCCATCAGTCTCCAAGTCTACTTGCCAACAAAGAGTGATTGGCTCGGGTCAAGGGCTCGTCAACCCCAAAATACTGGTCCAACTTGGTCGTCACCAACGAATGGCATACAGAAACACTTAGGTCCCGACCTTTGTGACACTGGGCACACTGCTCTGGGCCATGCAAGCCATGATGAAACTGGGGATATTACAGCAAGCATAGTAGTCGAAAGAGTATGTGGGTCGGTGTGTGGAGCATTTTCGCCTATTGTCCGTATTTCAGTATTTTACAAAATGGCAGCGCCACCTTGCTGGGAAGCCTGCAGCGAGTCAAGCCGTGCAGCAGTAACGCACCTTGCATTTTATGTGCTCACGAGAACGACATCTTGGCCGCATATCCTCCTCATGCCATGTTTCAGCTGAAGGTACTGATATTCCAGGAATGTGAAGACATTGTGCTTGGCAAAGGTGCCAGCATCGCAATGGTTGCGCTTGTTGCGCACTTCCATTCATCTCCAATCATTCTCCTAGCGTTCATGGTAGCCTGGAGTACGTAGACATTTACATGGTTTTCGCTGATAGCCCATCAACCAGTGCCCTCACTATGGCTGGCTCTTTCTGGCACTTCTCAAAGTCACTTCGCGTTGATGTTTCCGAGCTGAATGTCCGTTCTCCAAGATAGCATGATGCGTAGGATCTGATATACGAGTATTATTGTTGAATGGCAGGCTCAGCAGCACTATGTGCAGGGAAGAAAACCGGGGTGCAATGGTCATACCGCGCGTACATGCGCTTGGCCTTGTTCATGATAGGCGAGTTGGGCTCCAGCATTGATGGCGCTGTGGCTGTGGCTGTTGATGGGGATGACGGGAAGGATCACATGCTAGTAAGCTAAGCTCCCCTAGAGACAGATCAGCACACACAAGGCCACATGTGTGAGGTTAAGGAGAATGGCATGTTGGCGACAATATAGTAAGGCAAAGAGACTTCTCGCATGCTGCATGGACCAGCATTATGGCGCGATTCCCTTGCGGCGTTGTGTACCTGCTTTGCCATGCGCTGAGGTGGCCGTGCTGAGTGAAGGAGATGGTTTCGGGGGACAGGGCTCGGAGGGTCGGAGGGTCAGAGGTGTTGGCGCTACTCCTATTACGTACTACTAGTACTTACTAGTACTTACTTAGTTATGCCCAAGCGCGTGTGCGTGCCATTAGTGCACCCGTAAGAGCGCACCTACATCCCTGGCAGGCCTCCACTTTGTGATCGGATATCAGATCCGAAATATATGCACTCACGCGATTCAGCAATGGCTTCACAGGAGCGAGAGCAATTATGCACGTACTTATCGCAAAGGGTGGTTTATAAATAGATTAGGCACACCTGCCCACTTCTTCTATGTAGATCACAGGGGCAACTGACGAGCCCCTTTAGACAGGAAGCGAGAGAGGCCACAGAGCCATATTCCAAGCCCGAGACTTTGGCCCTCCAGTGTTGCTAGAATGATAACATGTTCGCTCCACCAACGGGCGGATACCCGTGCTCGTCCCGCCAGCGGGATACACCCTTGTGGTCAGTGCTGTGCGTTCGTTCACAAACACCTGAAGCACGCTGGAGTCGTACAAGACGTGGAACTTCAAGGTTTCGAGTATCCCCCTTTCGGTAAAGGGGCTGTCTTTGCCCCGCTGCCTAATCATGAACAGCGTGTGAGGCGCTTCCTCTTGACATGTTCGGATCCCATCTAGAGATGTGGAGCAACTCCGGTCAATGACAATCGTCTCCGCATTTACATCAAAGTAAACGCGGGTAAATTCCGCTGTACGCTTTGCCTTAGTCCGCGAATTTCTTTTTATCTCATCCACGTACTTACCAGCTGAATGTACAATATCAAAACCCAACTTGGCAGCGCCTTGTTCTGGTCTGAATTCTAGTTCCATCTCCCACTGCCGCCAGGCTACAGGAAACACAAAGATACCTCCGGGGCTTTGCTCCGGAGTTTCCTTTGAGGGAAACCTACAGCCTCTCAGCTTGCATAATCGAGGATCGGGCACTGCGCACAGCGTGATAGCAGTGAAGCTCGAGCCATGTGTATCTTCAGGCGTCAATTCGATGGAACCGATAGATTGAAGTGGAGACGACAAGGCTCCGGTAACACCCGTCAAGGCCTGCATTTTGAGAACTCGTGCCAAGGAGATGATGCCAGCCCATCCTTGTCGCTGACGCAGTTCTGCATCGAGGTCGTCTTCGCGAATCCAGCCGTATATGACCTGCTGCTGTGTTTGCGGATCCCAGAACGAGTTGCCAGCATAGTACAGGCCATGGTCCAATCTGCCTCCGAAACGGAACTTCATATGCACACCCAGCGCAGTCTCGAGGCTGCCGCAAAGCCACATTTGCGCATTGGTCGCCCGGAAGTTGCCTTTGGTGCGAATCATGTCGTCGGTAGCTAACCGACCTTCGACGCCACAAATGAGAAAGTCGCGGCATGTCTTGCCATCTGCACTTGCCAGGGATACAAAATTACTCACCTCCCAATTCACGCCAAAATCTCCTGTCCAGCGAGGCGAAGGGCAAAAGTTCAGGCCAGGGGTAATCAAAGGGCCAAGATATTGCCATGCATCCAGCGCATTTGCGTCCACTTGGTAGAGAAAGGCTGTCGGTGTCTTCCCTCGAATTCCTCCGGCTACGACAGCATACAATGATCTGGTGTCTCGGTTCACTCGATGCTGATCAACGAGTTTATCCATGCTCGGCCAGGGAGCTACGAACGGATCTCGCCAGCCGGTCACGTCGATGCCCGGCGGGGGCTCTGCGAGGACAGGGTTCTTCGCATGTCTAGTCCATGTCCTGCCAGAATCGGTTGATGTAGCCAAAGCGACTGTCTCTGATGTTCGGAAATATGGCCGCGTGTAGTGAATTGGGAGACGAGACACTGATGTATACGCTGCTGTCAGGACGCCGCTCTCTGAACCATCGATTGCAGTGGGTATCAGACAGCCGGTGAACACGCCGCCCGAATCGCACTGTGCAGAGGGCTGCATAGATGGGCAATTTGAGACTTTCCATGTGAGAAGATCGTGGGATACTGCTGCACCCCAGGAAATGTTGCCCCATTCTGTGCTGTTTGGATTCCACTGGAAACCCAGATGATACTTTTTATTGACCGGGTCGTATCCAGGGGCGCAAGGGTCGTTGAGCCAACCACGAGGAGCCACGAGATGTAGGCGTGGTCGCCATCGTTCGCTCGGTTCAGGTGTCGCTTCGGAGACCAGAGGGGTAGAGAATACACTCACTCTGGGCACCTTTTTGAACGTGAAAGGAGTAGTCGGGGGTGCGGTTACTAGCATGTGTGAAGTCATTGCGCCAAAAACTCAGAAGGAGAGTAATCGAGGGATGTAGTCTATCAGATTTCATTCCATTAAGAAGATCATCCTGGGTAGTTACGGCAAAGTCTTTCAAGGCGACCATGACGGCAGCTACGGGTGCGTGCTGTTGCAGGATAGGGTGGGCGTTGCAGTCAATGGCTAGGCGTTCAAAACACCCACGGCGTGATACTAAGAGCCTCGATGTCGGATCATGGGGATTTGCCCAAACAGTTATAGCTCTGGTCGAGATGCGGTTCGTCGCGAGATGGAGATTCGACGAGAAGGGTTAAGGAGCGGGGCTGGCGCGTCGAGTGGGTAATGGAGCGGGTTCGGCATTTGCGTTGTCAATGGGACCCCGGCAATTACCCCGTGGGGCGCACGAGCATCACGTGATGAGGTGCCAAACACCACCTGCAGTTCTATGCATGTCTGACAGGACATACGACATCATCCGTGCCATACAACGATCCACAGCTCAGCAGAGCGATGTAGCGACTGGATGCATTGCTCACGGCTAGATAACTGATGTTTTACCTTCTGCTGCTTACGTAGCTACAATGGGTGAAGAGGTCATTTTCGACAGCACTCTCGTCCGAACTGTCCAACCACGCTCATGCGATCAATGTTTTGTGCATAAGAACAAGGTAGGTTTACTGATGACCCATCCTTGAACTATCAACAAGCAATCTAACTATACCTGTTTCGGCAGTGTAGTCGACATGCACCCTGCCATACATGTGTTGCAAATCATAGACCATGTACATACAAGCGCCGATCCCAGTATCGCCGACGCACACAACTCATGTGGGTCTTTCCAATAACTTTATGCCGTGATAGTTGATATGCTATTGTAATGGCCTGGCTACTGATACAAGAAGCCTTGAAATCGATAGATGCGATGCTAACAAGAATCAAGACCAAGAACCAAACCCGCTGCAAATGAAACACCTTCAAGCTCTTCAAGGTTCGAGACGCCCAGTCTCAATATTTCCATCGAGAGAGAGTTTGAAAATGGGCAAGCAAGTTCATCGCCCGAAATGATAGATGTTCAAAATATTGGTACTGTAGCGGCAAGCGAGACTATTGACGACTTTCTCCTATCAATCAACCAACATGCCGATATTGACAGCTTCGACTGGATCAAGTTCAGCATGGTCCCTAGTATTACAAGTTCAGTAAGAGGAGATGCTGTCCCGCTTGGGGATGTCCCTTCATTACATGTGAACACGATACCAGAGCCAATCGCAAGCCCGCCATGGCCTATGGATGATGAAATCTTCGGGTATCCTCTGGAAACAACTCTCCAGATTTCACGGCCTGCAACCACTGAGAGCATCTTTCACATTATCAATCTCTTCCTAGACCGACTTCACGCGTCAATGCCTTTCTTTGAGCGCTCCTACTTGCTCGATAACATACATGCTCAAAGACCCCTGTACGACCAGTCATTCAACGCACTGATTCATGCAATCAGTGCCTTAACCGTCTTCCAGATGATGCAAAAAGGATCTGAAAACCCCCGCTCGTCGATTCACATCGACCAAGCAGAACGGCTACTCGCAGAAGCCGTGCGATTGCACTCTCACGCCGACTTTGGCGAGAACCCAGTCCTGGAGCACGTTCTCACAAGCGTGTTTTTGTTTGGTTGTCAGTTTTCTAAGGGCAATCATCACGCTGCTAGATTTCGGCTTCGAGAAGCAATTACTTTGGCTGAAACCATGGGCTTGGATGATCCGCAAACGTACGAGAATATCTCCCGGGACGAGAAAAATAGGAGGTTGAGGACCTTTCTTTGTTTGACGGTAATTCATCGGTACGTGGCCATACAAAACCACCCCCTCTATCCCCTATCGCTATCACTAATGCATAATAACAGCGTATACGCCATTCAAAGAGACAGCCCCATAAACGACTACCTCCTCACCAGCAGCCGCCTCCACACAGTCCGCACAACCCTAACCCAACTCTCCACCAACTCCGGCCAACCCGACGAAAAAGCCATCGCAGGCCTCGGCTACATGGTCGACCTAATCGACTTCGTTGACTCCACCTTCGTCAAATGCTGGCGCAACCAATGCTGGAACGACGCAAGCCCCACCCACATCTCCGCAAAGACCGTTTCCACACTGTTGCAACGATACACCGAACCCATGTCCACGCGCGAATCCCCAAACGATGCCCAAAGAGCCGATGTACTGGTTACGAGACATTGGATCTGCCACATCCTGTGGGACCTCGGCTCCCGCCACGGGTTCCTCCACGAGAAAAACGCAGTAGCGCAGATGAGACCAGACTACGCATTAACAATCGCACACGATAGTATCGACACGTGCGAATCCCTCGATATGCCATCCCTGGAATGCCATGGCATCGGACTGGTGAGTAGCTCCCATTTATCCATTAACGTCGATTGTCGAAGCTCACGCTTTTCAAGGTCGAGAAACTTTACGATATCGTTACCAGTGCGATTAAGGCGACACAGCCGATGGAGGTTGGCTCTGCGATGCCGCATTTGGCGAGTGCTGCGCTCGGTTCTGACCGAGATGTCATTCTATCCTGGCCAGTGGGGTCGGTAATCGAGCCCGCTTTGAATGAGGGAGAAGGAAGCGCTTGGGATGAGGAGATAGTGTACCCGAAAAGTACCCCGTGTTTAGCTGATTTCGTCAATCGGTTTCTTGTTATTTTCGCGTCGTTTCGCGGCGGGAAACATCCGTATTTGAGGCCGTATATGCGGATGCTGTGTGATTTGGAGCTTGCTTGAGTAATTATGAGGAAAGCGATTACAATGAGGATTTAAAGAGTAAGGACGGGCTTGGGATGTAAAAGGCTTTTCCAGTAAGTGGATGTGGACATTCTGTAACATAGTATACATCGATAAAACGTTTCATGCATTATTGTAGTTATTACCATCTAGGATATCTCCTCACGACGCAGCCATATCGATAAAATTCAAAGCGTCACCTTTGCTAAGGACCGTTCGAGCTAAGTCGACCTATTTATAATCTCTTGAGCCGAGAGGATACGCCTCACAGCTTCTCGATCTGCGTCACTTCCACCCCAGCCTTATCTTCATTCATGAAGTTTTCAATATTCACGCTGCACACATAATCTATGATTCAGTTAGCAAAAGTTTCTTGCATTTGCCAAAAAAACAAGGCCCTTACTTTTGAATTGTCGCGCAGGAATGCGCGCCTCAAACATCTCATCCAGCTCAGCTGGGGTCCGTCCCTTGGTCTCGGGGAACCAGAAGAAAGTTACAATAATGCATCCCAGCATCCATCCCGCAAATATAAGATAAGTCTTGGGTCCAAGGTTGGCACTGATGATTTATTAGAATCTCTGCAATCACTAAAAGCCCTCAAGGACAGCAGGATAGGTGAACTTACGGAGCATTGGCAATGTACGGGAAGATGTATTGGACAGCAGTCGAGAAGCAGGCCAGAACGAAGAAGGAAAAAGCACTCGTCTTATTTCGCAAGCGAGCAGTTGGCATCTCTCCAGAAACGACATATGTCAATGGCCCGAAGCCCGCGGCGAAGAAGAAAGCAAACATGCAGCAGAAAGCGGCGATGGTTTGGCTGAGGCTCTGGTTGTGAAGGTAGTCGGCGAACCCCAAGACACCGATAACCAGGTTGATGAAGAACAGGATGACGAATGTAGTCAGCGCCAGTGGACGTCGACCGACCGCATCTACTACGAACAGGCCTGCTATCGCGCCGCCAAAGGCCAAGATTGAGGTTGCTAGGGCAAGAAGAAACGGACTTATCTTGCTACCAATAGTAGCGAGGAAAATCACAGCGTAGTTGGTCGCAAACACGATGCCAGAAAGTTGCTGCATGTTGGCAATGCTAAGCGCCAGCAACGTGCGGCGAAGATTGACTCCTTGGAAGATGTGCGTCCACGGTACCTCGACATCCTGGGCCCTCAGCGCTGCCTGTGCCTTTAATGCAGCAAACTCTGCTTCGATTTCCTGTTCGTTGTATCCTCTTCGCACCGTGCGTAGACTCTTGAGGGCTCGCGAGTCTTCACTGCGAGTCAGGTAGAAGGTTGGAGAATCATCTATAAAGATGAAGCCAATGACCAGAACGATAGGAAAGGCGATTTGCAAGCCCATGGGAAATCGGTAGGCGAATTGAGTCATATCGGTACTGACAGCCCAGTTGATTCCGTTGGAAAGCACCGCTGCTGCGTCAATGGTGACGATGGACAGTCCAATGAGGACTCCACGTAGCTCGTCTGGTGCGATTTCGGCTAAGAAGGTCGATCCCATTACGATGAAAAGAAAGATGGCTGCATTAGCCAGCCAACGCCCAATGACCAGCTGTGCCATACCAAAGGCAGACGTCTGGATCGCTGCAGCTACAGCACTCAAGACACATCCAAAGATGAGGGTTTTGCGTCGTCCCCATCGATCTCCACAATATGCGGCGAGAGGAAGTCCGAGAAGGCATCCAGTAGTAGGGACAGCGGTCATAACGCTTATATCGGTAGACGTGAGAACTGGTCCTTTAGGGGACTTGCCAGTTCCGAATTGGTGAATGAAAGGGGGCATTGCGAGAATCCCGCCCATGACGGAACCATCGAAGCCAAAAGTAAAGAATACGAGCGCGAGTGTGAAGCTGGAGAAGATCAATCGTGGGTTGTGGATGATGTGCGAAGTCCACGATCGACGCTGCACCGCAACATGCGTTGCATCAACAACAGATGTCCCCATGATGTCTGAGTAAGATGATTGATGAAGGATTTGAAAGATGGCGTTGGGTAGATATTCAATCCTGGTGAGCAAATCGCGTCTTTATGTAGTACGAATAATGTGTATGTACCTACCCCAGATTTTCCCCAGACCAAATGGCCAAGGGGTCATCGGCACGTGAAATATTGGAGAGGCGGGGGTCGGGACGCCACTAGCATCGAAACTTAGAGAACAAAGCATGATTCCGGGTCGTATGAAGAACTCCTGGTCGAGTGTAGATAGGCCGGTCGCGCGAGCGAAAGTCTGTTCATTCGACTGCGGGGATTGTCCATTTTAGGCATAGCGCGGCGTGGAGTAGTAGTCGACTCGGAGCATGGAGCAGATGTAACTGCCGAAATATGCCCAGGCCACGCGACTGTTGCATTTGCGGAACGACATGGAGATGCTTACCTTCTTTTTATATCGACAATATATGTATCGTCTCACAGAACTCGTTGCTTACTGTTGAACTGGCATACGTAGTTGATTGATCGTGCCGACAAGATCTCTTCAAACGACAAAATCCATCATGATTATTGCAAAAGATGACGCTCTTGATTCATTTCCAGAATACAGGCTGGAAAACAAAGACCTCGGGCAGCTTATCGGACTCGCGAGAGGGGACGATGTAGTTCAATTCCGTGGTATCCCGTTTGCTACCATTCCGGCGCGGTTTCGCCAGGCGCGTCTTCTGGAGTCACTACCACAACAGCCTTTTGATGCCAGAAGATCTGGGTAAGCTAGCGGCATATAAGAATCGCATGTTCCTAAGTTTGACACAAAGATAGACCGTATTGTCCGCAACCGCCATTGCCCTTCCCTTTCTACTGGGAAGGATCATTACCAGAAGATTTCCCGTCATTGCCGGAGCCCACACAGGACGAATTCGGCTGTCTCAATCTCAATATTACCGTTCCTCGATCCAGCCTTGAGGACGACTCGGCAGGAAAACTTCCGGTTTTCTTCTTCATCCACGGCGGAGCGTTCGTGGGTGGAAAACAGTCTACTCAACTTGCTGGACGCGAGATCTACGATGGGACGAATCTTGTACGCGCAAGTGCAGCTCGAAACCAACCAATTGTAGTGGTTTCTTGCAATTACCGTCTGGGACCACTGGGATTTCTTGCATCTGAAGAACTTGCGGCTTTCAACAAAGAACACGGCGAGGCAGTCGGCAACTACGGATTACACGATCAGCGGCAGGCACTAGAATGGTGCAACAAATTTATATCCGGCTTCGGCGGTGACGCTGGAAACGTGACCATCCAAGGTACAAGTGCCGGAGGAAGCTCAGCGCATTATTTGAGTATCTTTCCGGCTCGAAAGTTCAAGAGAGCGATTTTGGCGAGTGGGACGCTGACAGGCATCGGCCCCATGCCCATGCCTTACCAACAGGAAAAGTATGCCGCATACGTGTCCAGACACTCTAATGAAAACAGTAAGCCAGAAGGAAATTCAGTAGCATTATTGCAATCTATACCCGTTGAAGAATTTGTCAAACCTATTTCAGCTGGCATATACCATCCATATATCGATGGCGACTGGATCCCAGGGGCGACCATGCAGAGTATTACCCATCTTTACAAAGACGAAGCTGCACCAGATCTTATGATAGGCGCTTGCGATTTTGAGGTAGGCTTTCTTCTTTTCGATGGCGTACCGTGCATATCCGTGTATTAACAACAAGTTGTAGGCCGATCTCACACAGTTACTTCTCTTAGACGATATACCATCAATGAAACCCGCACCCGACAACCGGATGCGTGCAACAATCTATGACCTTGCATCATCCAACGGCATGATTGTCTCTCCAGAAACATTTCCAGACGCACATCCCAGTGTCACGGAAGCGTACGACCTCACACCCTATCTTAAGCATCCTTCGTCTGGAATGTACAAGTGGGCAGAATTGTTGGCCGATGTGGCATTCAGGGTTCCGCCCCTGCATATCGCAGCCCACCACCCTGCCAACGTCCTACTCTATGAGATTCGCTGTAAAAATCCATATGAAAAGTGGGCTTGGTCATTCGGGCGTGCCAATCACGCCGTGAACGACGTGTTTCTCTTTGATGTGGCTTCAGATCTGGTGTCCAAGGAACTGCAAGGTCCGCATGCAGGCAACGTGGCGCAGATTCGAGCTGCGTGGTTGGACTTTTGTTATGGAAAACTACCATGGTCACCGTATCGGCACCAGGACAGTAGACTAGGTCCGGTGCATGTTTTTGAGCATGGAGAAAATGGTAGAGATGCTGAGAGTTTGGAAGAAGCTGTGGGTGAGACTATGGCGGCACAGTGGAGAGCAGTTTTGAAAGCAAACGAGCGATAGTCGAGATTAATCATGTCTGTTTCGCTCAGCAGATGACGGGGTAGCCCTTAATGTTCCAATCGTAATCCATAGACACAAATATTGATTGACTTTCCTGTGTTGTTTTGACTTGGTGCAATCACTTGGTTTGCTCGTTTGCCTATACCGATGTTTCTGCAATAATTATGATTGCACGGAAGAAGTGTTGGATTATGCAATCCTCAAAAGTCAACATGTTAGATCGTCCATTTTTGCCGGTTTCTCAAAAATGGCGTAATGGTATGGTGTTGCTGGGAAAGGGAAATTGCGGCGACTTAGAGCAAAGTTAATTTTGTACCATATGAGAATTCGCAATGGACACCAGGGCAAGTGATGTGGCTGACAAGAAGAGAAGAAAAGGGCCGACACGTGGGCATGACGACAAGCGGTGGTGGTATTTTCCATTTAAATGACCAGATGGCTGGGGTGAGGTGGAGTGGTCGTGGTGGAGGTGGAGAGAAGGACAAAGAAAGAAAGAAAGCAGGGCGCCAAGGCCAACGGGACGGGACCATTTTGGAACGAGGCAGCCTCAGCCGTCGTGGCTACGGCGTCGGCCTCTTCCACAGCCCTCGCGTCATGACTGCTTTGGCCGCCATGAGCAGCATCGACTCTCTCCTCAATCACGACGCCCGCCCCGACCGCCGCCCATCGCTCGCCCATTGCGCCGACATGACCACCACAAGCACAAGCACAAGCACATCACCATCACAAACCCAAACACCAAACACCATGACGACGACTACCTCGACCGACGATGCCACCGATGCCCTCACCACGCTGGCCACGCTGGGCAATGGGCAGCAGTATCCCCCCGCTCACACAGAGCCCGCCGCCTTGCAGGACCAAGTGCACGACGCGACTTCAACAGCGGCAATGCCTTCACCTCAGCCCTCGATCAAGCATGAGCCTTCGGGCACGCCGCGTGAAAATACGCCAGCAGCCGGCCCAGCGCACCCAGACCGACAGGCCTCTGTTCCGGGCGAGGACGTCGACTCGGATGCTCTCAAGGCGCTCGAGATTGCAAAGCAGAGCGATCTGGGGCTGCGCAGAAGAAATCAGATGGGCGCCGACGGTCTCCAGTCGCCCGTGGAGCCCAAGCCTGCTCCGGCTTCCGCCAAGAAGCGACCAGCTCCCGCCTCTGCCGTCAGGAAAAAGGGCACGGCAAAGACATCAAAGCCAAACAAGAAGCGCAAGGTCGAGACCGACGACGGCGCCACGCGCTCCGTCACGCCCACTGCCCGCGTCCCAAAACCCCCTCCCCGCGGCTTCAAGAGAAGCTCCCATGCCGGCACCCCCCTCGAGTCCTCGCCCGCCCCCGACAACTCGTCACAGGCTCACGGCTCCGACGATGACGGCGAGTCCTCCGAAGATCACAACCTGTACTGTCTCTGCAAGAAGCCGGACAACCACCGATGGATGATTGGCTGCGATGGTGGCTGTGACGACTGGTTCCATGGCGACTGCGTCAACATGAAGCAGGCGGACGAAGAGCTAGTTGATAGATTCATCTGCCCACTATGTGAAGAAAACGGAAGGGGACATACCACATGGAAGCCTATGTGCAGGCGGGACGGGTGTCGGAAACCTGCACGTCTTACAAAGGGCAAGGAAAGCAAGTATTGCTCCGACGACTGCGGACTCCTCTTCATGTCGGAACAATTGCAGCGGACAGCCGGCGCGAAAGGTGCAAATGGGTCAAGGGAAAAACAAAAGAAGAAAAAGAAGACGACAGACGGCGAACCCATTGATGAAGAAGAGCCTACTCCGCTTGGCGGCACCTTGCGAGCAAAAGACCTCAAGGCCCTCGTCGACGCGTCCCCCAATATCCAAGCATTCAAGAATCTAGGGACTGGCGTTCTCACCCCTCCACAAACAGCATCCCCCTCACGTTCAAATTTCCCTTCCAATGGCGAGGATCTTGCCTTGACTGCCGCCGAAACCGACCGACTAGCCGCTCTACATAAAGAAAAAGTACAGCTAAAGGACAGACTCGAAGTACTCAAGGACCGAGAAAAATTCGTCAGCATGGCAAAAGAGCAAGCCGTTCGTCTCGCCGACCGCGAAAAGATCAAGATTAAAGACTTTTGCGGCTACGACTCACGACTAAGCTGGTCTGACGCAGAGTTCCTCCTCTGGCGCAACAGCAAGCACGGCCGTGCAGTCTTCCAATACTCGACCCTCTCCCCCACCGACGAGCAAGTATCCTCAATACCAGACGCAAACGGCGTCGACACAATGGACATTGAAATCAAAGAAACGGCTTGTCTGAAGAAGCGTTGCCAGAAGCATCCCCAGTGGCAAAAGCTCAATCTCCAAGACGCACGGTTTGAAGAGTTGGAAGTCGTAGAGGCAATCAAGGAGTGCGAAAAGGACGAGCAATCCGTGCGTGAGCGTGCTCGACGGAGGGGCGCAAAAGATGGTCTGGCAAAGGAATTGGCGGGCGGTGATATGTCAAAGGTAGCTCGGAATCGAGAAGGTTGGGTCGAGACCGTAAAGACGTGACCTGGTTCGGACATCGGTCTGTGTGTTGGTGTGGTGTTTTGCATAAAAGTAATTTAAAAGCGAATCTGTAGACATGGGAAATATTGATATCCTGGCTTTGGCCGTTTTGAGTAAGAATAAAACATACCACTCACTCCTCTGCTCTTTGTTACTTGCACCAAGTACATGCATTAACTTTCTACCAGACTATTCAACAACGAGAAGAAGAAGAAAAATAAAAAAGACACGTGAATTACAATTGAAAGTATAGAATGGCAAGGAAAAAAGGGGGGGGTATCTCAATAACTACAAGAGGGGAAACCAGTGAAGATGGAAAATGAATAATAGAAACACCCTCAGACGACATGCACTGTCATCGTCCCGTTCTCCACTGCCACACCATCTACCTTCTGTCTCGGATTTATCCCCTCATCCATCTCGCTTCCTACTTTTGTACTCTCCGATTTTCCATCATCATCAAGTGCAGCGCAGCTATTCCTCCCTTCACGACCCTCACCACCACGTTGTACAAAAGGAACATCGAGCGTATCTCGGTCCCCATGTTGATTCCGTTCTACCGTCGTCGTGGGTGCAGTACTCATCCTATTCACGCCGACTCGCGGCTTGCCCTCCATGCTCTTCTTTGCTGCACCCTGATTCTCTGACTTGGCTAGCTCGTCGGGATGCACTCGTCCCGGCTTGTCGTTGGGCGCACGCGTATTAGCTCGTCCCTTGGACATGGATCGACGGGTGTCCTTTCTCGATACTTCGGTGCTCTTGCGACCTACCCGCTGCCCATCTTTTTCGTCGCCCCGCCCTGTGAGTGAACCGACAAGGCCATTCTTGTGTCGCTTCTTGTCTTCTGTAATGATATTTTGGAGCGCGTTCCAACGCACACTGACTTTTTCTTCGATGTTTTCCTTCTTCTCGACGCTTCCTGTGCTTGCCTGTTGAGCTGCATTGCGCGATGTCGAAGTCAGCATCAACATTTCCTGCTGTCCTTCGGCAATGCGTGCGCGGCGGAGGTAGCTGGTTGGCTGATAGCGCTTCATGTATTCGGCGTCTAGTCCTTTCATCATGTATGCCATGGGTCCGAGCAAGGCTGCAATATCTTTGAGAACAAAGCCACCAACTCCAAAGCCGACACCTCGCAAGGCACCCACCACTCCATTCTTTTTCGCCCCATGATATGGCTGCATGACAAGACCTGAGACACCGTCCTTGACACCGTACAGGAATTCATCACGACCAGCGCGTGTCCCAGAATGAAACCCAGTGACACGAGGCGGACGGCGGACCGTCTCATCGCCGTATAAGCGGGGTGCATTGTGAAAACCTTGAGTGATTGCAAGTGTCACTTCCATAGGGAAGCGAGCAATGGCATGTCCAGTCTTTCGGAAGCCGAAAGCAGCCTCGCGTCCAAGTTCATCAGCCAAGTCTTCGCTAGGCTCCGATATCTTCGAAAGGGTTGTCTCGTTGCGGGTAGGCTGCGGTCTACCACCATTTTGTTGATTTTTCACATCTTGCTCGACTTGCTCAGAGGTACCTGCACCTCTCTTTGCGCGCACAGTCTTCTTGTCGGTATTGCGACTTTGCAGCCTTCGCTTCTTCTCCTTGATCTTCTCTCTCTTTCTGATGCTCTTGCCAATTTCGACAGGCATACCGCCGACACCGGCAGCAGCATCCGAGAAAGAGCTCATGAGACTGCCCCAGACTCCAGTGATGGGCTCGCCAGGTCCACCAAAGTCGTTCCATTCATAATGACGGACGAGGCGTAGCTCGCTCCATTTGAGCTTCTTCTTCTCAACCAATATCTCAGCGGCCAGCGCAGACAGCTTGACGTGCGTGTTCTTGATCTTCCAGACAGCAGCGCGGTTATCGAGAAAGTTGCATCGCATACTTCCCTCCCCTGAAAGTGGCAACGACCGATGGAATGAGCGCACAGCGTTGAGTGCACCGTCACCCTCTTTGGCGATGCTGTCAGCAATCTTCTTGACATTTTCCTTGGCTTCATCTGTGAGGCACTGCTTGATGCCCTCGGCCAAACGCTCAGGTGTGAGTTTCTTGTAGGGTATGCATTCGTGCGCGCCTGCCTTTGCTTTGCTGACCATTGCACCCCAAAAAGGCTGGTCACCAAAGAATGGAACAATCATAGTCGGTATCCCGCACTTGAGGCCAATGGCTGTAGTTCCCGCTCCACCATGATGTACTACAGCACTGCAGCGAGGGAATAGCCAGTCGTGAGGGGTATTTTCCAGCATAAAGACGTTGTCTGGGCAATCAGCGTTCGAACCGAAGCCACCCCAGCCTTTGGATACTAGAGCGCGACAGCCGACTTGCTTGACAGCCTCGAAAATGAGCTCTGTGAATGCGTCTGGATCGTCGACGACAATCGAGCCAAACCCAATGTATACAGGGGGAGGTCCATCGTCTAGAAACTTTTGCAGCTCGGGTGGCGGCTTGAATGACGACGCAAGGTCGAGGAAAACAAACCCAGAAATGTCAATCTCTGGGCCCCAATCCTTTGGCTTCGGAATAAGGCTTGGAGACCACATGTATGTGTATGGGACCTTGAGTCGATACAGTTGGCCTGGCGCCCATATTTTACTGACTTCCTCGAGATGAAGGATTTGAGTACGGAAACGATTGATAAGGTCGCCTAGACCCTGCCACATCATCATCTCAACTAGCGGGTAAGAAATGAAGTTGCTATAAGTCGCTTCGACATTACTGGATTTGATGTTTGCGAGCGGATGAGGGAATTGGCTCGTGGGTGTGTATGGAAAGCTTGAGTACGTCAATGGCAACTCTTGTGCATGGGTTCTGGTACTTACGTGAACATCATGTGGAGTGGAATACCTAGCTTCTCAGCAATATGCTGCGGTGCAATACTGGGAGGGTTGGCAATAATGGCATCAGCAACAAAAGGAGCTCTGTCACCCACTGTAGGAGGTTAGCTCAAGAAAGACAATGATCTCTGGCGTTACTTCACGAGACCCAATTACCAATTGGTCCCACTTCCTTGTGAACTCTTCGCAAGGGAAACAGGTATGACTTACTCATCTTTACATTGGTCGTGTCAGTCTCGTCATCCGTCGCATTGATACATGCCCGCCACATGCCCTGGAACATTTCGTACATCTGCGCTCTCCTACGGCCAATCTCTCCCTCTTTTATCGTCTCAATGTTGGGTATAAGACCTGGGTTCTTGACCATGAAAGCCATCAGCTCTGCTGGGTTGCCACCAACCGAGAAGAACTCCAGGCCCGAGTCTTTTTCAACAAAGTCCCTGAAAGCCGGATGGGTGGCCAGACGAACCCGATGTCCATAATCCTCTTTTAGGATCTTACCGATCCGAATGAAGGGCTGAATGTCTCCGCGCGATCCGATAATGATGATAACAATGTTAAGCTTCACCCGCCTTGCAGGATTGTGTTCCATCTCGTCATCTTCCGGAGCGACCTTGGTGGCGTCTATGTCGTTATAGGATTCTGGGCCTCGGTCCTCGTCGTTGCCATGCTTCTTGACAATAGTCCCCAGAGCCTTTGCAATGTATCCACTACCCAAGTTCTTTTCAAGAATGCTCAGTTTCAGCCGTCCGTCTGCTCTTGAAACCCTGGCCTTTGTATTGAAGTGTTCGTTGGCGATTCGGAATCGGGAGAAGGGACGTGATTTACGAGCCGTCTGAGTAGTAAGCTCGTCAGCATGCCCAAGACTTTTGTTGCCTGAGTAGACATCCTCATCGTCGGAGGAGTCTGAAGAATCGGTATCGGCGTCAAATGTTATGGTCGCGTGTCGGTCTGGCTGCGCTGGCCTCTTCTTCTGTGTCTGTTGTTCCTTTGTGAGCAGTGAGTGCCTTACGGAGGGCTTTGGTCGCTCGGTCGCCCATCTTTGCTGTTGTGCTGGACGCGACTTCGAGGTAAAGTAGTCTTGGTTGCTCGACGTGGTTCCCAAGGGTGCATGCGTCCCACTTCCATAGTCTTTTCGCGAGACGCTCTCCTGTATCATTTCTGTAGCTGGGGTATCTTCGACGGGGGATGTGGCATGGGGTGTCGTCTTGGGTTCATGGCCAGGGATATTCGGAAAAGACGGCTCTTCAATGACCATGCCCACAGGCGCGATACCGCCTTTGTCTTGAGGCGAGGACGTAGTTTCCGCCATGTTCCCAGCAGGCATACAGATGGGATCGATGGCTCGGTGGGTCGCGCAGTTTGGAAGTCAACAACACGTGCAGACTCGGGCAGTGACAGAGCGATGATGGTAGCGACAGGACAGCAAAGAGCAAAAGGTTCAGGCTAGACTGGCTAGCCGCTCCACTTGCCTGCAGGCGATGACAATTGTTTTGGTGATGGCAATGCTCGTCCCAATGCGGTCACCAACGTGTGCAAAGGGGGGCACAAGTGCAGATGTTGTCGAATCATGGTAGCAGGAGAATAAATGGACAAGGCTAGGCCAGCAGGCAGGCAGGAACCGCAGGCATGACATCACACGCGCATGTGGGTGAGCCGGCAAGCGCCCCGCGGAAGTTAACCCAATGTGCTTTAATTGGTCGGAATGCGACATTGTACCTGGGCGTGTTTAGCCGAGAGACGAGTCTGAGCTGGAACTCACATGTGCAGGAGCTAATTACGGGCTAGAGTCTGTAGACAAATCCATCATGTGCTTTTGAATTGGAGTGATTGCATGGTACCGTTGCAACGTCCGGCTGCTAGCATCCTGGTCTAGCTGCATAAGTATCTTGGTTCGCAGATGCATCGACGGCGATCTGGTAGCGCACTAGTCACGTCCCAGAACGCGTCTTAGCGGCACTCAGACTGTCCAACATATTCTAGACAGTCTAGACAGTCTGGACAGCCACAACAACCAAAATAAAAAGGAGGCGACTTTAACGCCTATTAAAAGATATTGAACTCTTAATTTCTATACGATACATACCTGCATACTAAAATCTAGATACGTGATCTATACAAGTTGGGCAAAAAATACAAATTGTAAAACAAAAACATACGACAGCGGGGATT